ATATTACGTGCGTATCATACAATGATGCCAGGTCATTCGGATTTAATTTACATCGGAATGCAATAAAGTTCCTTCCCTTTCCTGCATTTCACTATTGTATATTTCACCCACTTTAAAATCAAATTCGTCCTAGAAAGAATTGTGAAATTATCGTATAAATCGATAATCTGGCAACGTGGTCAACACTTGTTCATACACAGGCAAAATCAATCGATAATTTGGAACAAAACGAGACAAATATATATGAAAATCACGAAACAATAAAAGACGGCATACACCTGTATCACTGTTTCAAAAATTGGTACCTCTAAACAATCATTTACCTATTAAAACCATCTCTAAAGTAGAATAGCTATACTGTTTTTTACGGTGACATCTTCTTAAAAATAGATGAACTACATGAACTGTACACAATTACAGGAATTCATAGAAAATCTCTAATTTGACAAATAAATTTATCAAATATTTGATAATCGTATTTCCAGTTAGATTTGAAAAATACGCAATAAAATTTAGAAATATTTTGGCGGGATACTTGGAAAAATATGTAGAATGAAATCTCCTACTTTTTAGCCTCTGGTTTTAAAATCACTTTTTATGATTTTTTTTTAAATTCAGTGTATAAACAGGACAAATAAAAAATAGGAGATTTCATTCTCCAAACCTTATACTTTAAGCTGGTAGAAGATTTATTTTAATTCATTTAGCGGGATTTAAATGCAATCGGAAATGGTGAACCCTTGCTTCTTATATGAGAAATACAGTGATACTGCGGCCTTAACCTACAACACGATCAGGGGGTCGATTCTCGATTCGTAGGAATTCTGTTTCTCGCGGGCCATTTTTGCTGGTCGTATTGTTAGGGTTTATTTAAATGAGTATGGATATATTAAAAAAAACTGAGAACTATATATTCCAAAAGAATACAAAAAACAACTCGAGAACAGTACAAGTTGTATTTATTGGATTTGAAAGATAAACCAAATTTGTGTAGGTTACGGAGAAGTATTATAGGTACTTCCATAATATAAGTTTTGTTACTGTTTCGCAGTTCTACTTTAGGAACAGCACTGTTAATAAGAATCCAATAGTAAATGGTTGAATGGGCAATCCTAACTTTGAATCCGATTTATTTTTAAAATAATTAAATAAATTAGAAAAAATTCCTCACAAATTGTACTTGATGTATTAGGTAGATGGCAATATAGTTGTAAAATTTGTAAAAAAGTGCTTTTATTATTTAAAACACATCCTGATTCACAATAAAAAATGAGAGGGAATGCAAAAATCACTATAACGACACTTCATATTTTTAACGACAGCTCTTTGGCTATCGTTGATGACCGACAATTTTACAACCATATTTGTCTATTTTCAACGACAATCGTTGTCTACTGAATAAGAAAAGTCGTCTGTGAACGATTATTGTCTATTAACGACGTCGTTCAGAGTTACTGAATAGGCCCCTAAGAAGCCTTAAACTAAAATGATGTAAAAGTCAAAACTAAAGGAAAGACTATGTGGTGCTATGATGTCGCCACAATTATCGCATAAAAAAACGCCTCCACACTCTGTAGCTGATATGGTGGGGGGGGGGGGGATATCACGCTCAAAAAATAAAGTTACAAGTTTTTTTAAGGAATCAGTTGAAATAGATAAGCTCACTTGGGGTACGAATTTTGAATCGAAACGCGCATGACTTCATCGCGGGGCAATAGTGTTGCTCATATACGAGGACTCTGTAGCTTTTCATAGTAGTTTCGTTTGAAAATTGCTCAAATATTCGTTATGACTGTTCTGTAATATTTAAATAGGTAAAATGAAAACAAGTCAATGTACAATACTGTGACGATAGTTAAATTTATTTAGAGTTTATTTATTTAAAATACACTATTTATAATTTATTTATGACGTACTAATTAATTTATATAATACTTCTAATTTATTTATTACAATTTACCTGTTCAGTTCAATACTTTATTCTAACTTACTGGTCCGTCGACGAAATTGCGCTATTTATACAAGACCCACTCTATACGAGAAGTCTCTAGACGATGATGGAATGTCCTAGAATTCCATCTCTATGATTCAACGTCACATACCGCTTGTTATGGTATATTCGTGAAGCATCTATATTGCCAGCGCGCCGCTAGAATCCATGCCGCAGGAGTAAACAAAGGACAGGGCAGGCTTTCGCGCGACATTGCTCCCTCCTTAAGAAATAGTTCCTCCGGGAACTAAAACTGAATGATTGTATTTGCAACTGGATCCTCTTTTACAATTTCCAGTTGCGTGGAAGTAACAAGGGACTGTCTTCGCTATAACCTAGACACTGGGCGAATGGCTGCAGACCAGTAGTTGGACTCCGGTATTTTGAAAGATTACTTCCACCATGTTCCTAATGATCCTCCAATACAGCTGATTTTCTTCTTTCTACGGCATGATTAGTTTTTGTACATTGGACTCCAGTACATGCTCCCTCAGACTGAGCAATTCTTCCCATACATCCTGATAGGTGGATCGATCTCGGAAGGTGTTCTTTATTACCAAATGGAAAAGATAACGCGATCCATCTTGAAGTTTCTTCCAGGGGCTGGTAACTGATCTTGAAGTTCTGGCAATCGACTAAACTTCTTTCGGAATACAGATGAGATGCCAGACCTCGAGTGTCGCAGATGTTGGCGGAAGTGCTATGGACTAGCGAGTAATCTTTAGGAACCATGAGCAGGTCTTGTTGTTGCTTGGTTGTAACACCATGTCTTGCTTTTCCGGTACCTCCATATGCACCCATAAATTCTTCAAAGAATTTAAAGTTTTCTATATTTATTTGATTTTGACGTTTTGCGCTTTTGTATTTTGGAGGTTTCTTTGATATTTTTTTTAAGAATTCCTAATTTAAAATACATTTTACATTTGAAAAAGACACTTTTAGCCTCGTCAAGTAAAACTACATTTATTCCAAAATGATTTAAATTTTTAAGACAGTTTATTTCAATTTTCAGTGAGTTTCCATTATTAAATATTATGATCGAGCTCGTTGCATTTTGTTAAAAACTTATCAGTGGGTATTTGTAAGCCACTTAATCCAAGAAAATAAAGCTTCGTCTAGAACAGGGATTCCCAAACTATTTTGGGCAAGAAACCCCTTTTCCAAAATGAAGTCCCCATAGCCCAATTACTATAAATAAAATTTCTATATATAGTTTTTTTCCTATTGTTACAAAATACCAATTTAAAAATTTTGCGGTTCCTTAAGTGAGTAAACTTGACATCATTTTTAAGCGACTTAAAAAAGGAGGAAGTTCTCAATTCATCGGAATATTTTTTATGTATAATTCTTTACTACGTTGTCCGATTTATTTTTTTTTTTTTGTTAGGAAGACGGTACCTCAGGGGTGGTCTCATATAAATTTGATCAATATCTATTAAGAAAATCATCAAACTCTTAATTTTTTAAGTATTTTTAGCGATAATTCTTTACCTTGTTGTCCTATTTCTGTAATTCTTTTTTTGTTAGAAAGGGGATACCTCAGGGGTACCTCCGTATACAATTGGTAAGGATCTGATGATCTATAAGAAAATTAAAATCTCAATTTTTAAGGACCTGCACGATTTTTTAAAAATTACTTTTGTAACTTGTCTCATCAAAATTTAACAAAAAGACATAAAATTCAATAAATATCAAGTGAAATTATTAATATAAATTACGTAATAATACTTAAGTAGAGGTAATTATTAAAAAAAAAAAAAAACATTAAAATCGCAAATTAAAGATCTAGCTAAATCTTGTTCAATTTTGTTGCAGCCTTAAATCTCCGCGTTTGTTGATTTTTAAACGGTTTCTTTGTTTTTTTAAAATGTTTGTAACCACACTGAAGCCTTTTTTGACTAGATATGATGATGGAAAAACGATAAGGTATTTTTCAGAAATGTTCCACAATACAGGATACTGTGTTTCAATGTTGCGCTGCAACCAGAACTTCTAAAAGCCTTGCTTTAACTTCTGCCTAAGCTCCTCGTCCGTGCTGATGGTGATCAACTGTGATATTGTATGGATTTATTATCCATTGAGGAATTTGTATATTTGAAAGATTCTTAAACATCTGTAAAATCTTTGTGTAATGCGTTCAAGTGAGTGACCTATGATAAAATAATATCGTCTTGAAGCATTTCTAGTAATTTTGACAAATACGGAAACTGTGAATATTAGATAGGTAATAACTTTAAAAAATGTGCCAACAATTTGTCACGCATTGACGTCAGCTGAGGAAGAGAGAGGGAAGATATCATGCGCGTGAAATTATCTGTTTATCGTTGTATAATGATTTTATAAATCAACTTCACGATCATAGATCTCAACAAAATTACTTATAAAAATTTCAAAATGAATTAAAACAAACAGTATTAAGTGCGAATATTTCTAAAACTAACAACCGTTTTTTGGCAAGTTTATACATGGTATCTCTTCTTTACAGTCTTTGATACGATAAATTGTCTTATGTTTTGATCTTGATAAATATCGACAATCTCGTTTTGACATTCACCCAACCAGATTATAAATACCTAGAAGAATATCAATTTTATAAGACATTTTGGTAAGCGCAAACCAAAAACTTTTGCATTGCTTATTTAGATGACATGACCGGTGACATTTAATTTCCATGACCTGCTTGATTAAATGCATTTTGTTACTCAATCAAACCAGGTGAAATTTTTCCCAAAACTTTAGGACCATACGTTATAATAATACTTTATCTAATCAGCCCCCTTACGAGTGAGTTTCAACTCCAGAAGCAGATCTTGTGAGGGGTTGAGTCGGCTCGAGGGCCGGCTATTATTGTTATTTGCCGTGACGCTCCAGAGCAACTTACAGATAATTGATGTTGCTATTTGATTTACAAGTGAGGAAAACCCACAAAATCACACCCACCTGCATGATAGGAACCGTACAAAATATATAAAAGTACAAAAAGAGTAGTTATAAAATAATATAATAATAAATATTTAAACCTATGAGAAACTTTTATATAAATTTACACTGTTAGTCGGAGTATTCTGTAAAAGAGGATAAATTTCTTCTCTTATTGTTTCATCTGAGGTATATTTTGAAGATGAACTATTTTTACTACAATCTGCTGTGTCGCCTTGTCGCCATGGTAAGATTACTCTGTCATTTCCAGTACCCCACCTCCGATAAACAATGCAGTTGAAAAGGGCTTGCAATGGATTTAGTAGTGCCTAAAAATAACGTAGAGTTAGTTTAATTAAGCATCCAGAAATTAGGCTTTTCCCACGTGTAAAGGTATAGTTTTCGTAAAGGTACACGCACAATATTCATTCATCTTAAGAATCTGTAGAGTTTCTTTAAATATTGTAATATGTCAAACGAGTCTACCTTCTTATGTAGGCACCAAGTTTGCAGCTTCACTGGACGAATCACTAAACCCCTATATAAGTCAAATAAATCTACATTTTTTACTTTTCTACCTCAATGATACAATATTTACACTCGTAAGGGTAGGTATTCACTAAGTCATGGGAGCGCTCCCATGGGAGTGTTCCCATATATTTTGCTCTCTTACTCTTAGGTGGGTATATCGTGCTTACTCCGACCTAACTACGCATGTACCTGGGCTAAAAGTGAGTAAGCACGATATACCCACCTAAGAGTAAGAGAGCAAAATATATGGGAACACTCCCATGGGAGCGCTCCCATAACTTAGTGAATAGCTATCCAGGTAAAATACCCACAGTATCTAATGCGTGTGTTGTAAAACAATTACGCACTCATGGAAAAATTGACTTTTCCATTTGTGCGTAATATGCTTTTTACAATACTTATTACGTACTGTACTATTATCTGATTAACAAGATTGTGGTCTAGTGACTCGCCTTGTATAGCTGCAAAGTTGGAGTCCACAAAAAAGTTGCTTTATTTGACATATATAATGTATAAAAAGTTAAAGAAAATCGGCAGAACCCCAAACTCAATTATTTGGTACCTTTAAGTTTAACTAGTGAACCACATGAGTCTTGTCCGTGATATCTATCTACGCACGCTTCTGAATTAAATCCAAACTAATTTTAAAAAAGAAGAAATGTTTTATAATCTACTTTTTTACATTGGCAAAGACTAGCCAAACAGTAGATTGTCAATTGTTCAAAAATATTAACTTCCTACTCACCATTACATACCAAATTGAAGTGACACATGCGTCGAGGTGAAACCACAGCGTCCATAATAGAATACCATTTAATAAGTTCGGTATCCAACAAACGTAGAATACTATATTTATCAAGGAAAATTTAATTTTTATAGCTCTAATAATTTCCCTTTCTTTGGTTGTGAATTGACCGGATGCGCCTGTAATAATGTATTCCATGTCTTTTGTTGAAGATCTATACAGATAAGGATTTGCTATCATTACCGTCGCTATTGGAATGTACGTGGCAATATAGTTTGGAAGAATTCGGGTGATTGTAGTACTAAATGGAGAAGGCATGTGGCAACTAAAAAAAAATAAAGATTTGGTCAAAATAAAGCCTGAAACAGTAAGTAGTATGAAGATCAGTCTTCATATACTCGGACAAAATATTGAAGAAGGTGATTCCTCCCTGTTCACGTACAACAATAATACTATACCAGAGCATAATGAATGGAATCACGCGCTTAAAACTGCAGAAGTTATCGGAATCACGTGCCAACTAGTCATAAATGCATGTTGATTGCCAAAATGAATTACGCCAGTGGCGTATAAAAACTATTGGCAAATTAAATGCGGTAATAGTAAATAATATTATATGAAAGTAGGTTGGTTATCTATTTTTGTAGTAATAATCATTTGTTTATAATTTTGTTTTGTTTATTGTTAAAATATGTAAATATTATGCCAGTGGCGTAGAAACACTATTGGAAAATTAAATGGGGTATTATACTAGAACAAAATATTGAAGAAGGTGCGCCTTAAAACTGCAAAAGGGTATTTGTAAATATTACTGGATGAAAGTTGGTTATCTATTTTTGTTATAATAATTCATCTATGTTTATAATTGTATTTTGTTTATTATAAAATATGTAAATTAAGCTTGGTATCACTTACTTGAATTCTAAATCTATGAAGTTTCGTAATCCATTGATTCTGCAGAACTATCACTGGAATCGTCTTTATCGTCGGAACTTAAAGTTATGACTAAAGGTTCAACTACCGTTTCGATCACACCGTCCAAGCGCCACATATTATTTTCTTCCTTAATTACATGGGAAATAGCATTCTGTCAATCTTCAGGTTTTATACGTTCTATACCGGTTTTTAATAAACTTTGAACGTCGGCTATTTTAAAAGTTTTATTTTCTCGAGCTACAAACCCTTTCACTTGCGCCCAAATTAGTTCAATAGGATTGAATTCGCAGTGATAAGGGCGAAGTCTTAATACCGTAATACCACGATCACGAGCCATTGTGTCGAATATATTTATAGCGGTGTTCCTTAATTAGGTCCATTAATTCCACTTTAAGCATCTCCTCAGTAAATGTTATTGCTTTATTCCGCAGCCGAGTTTGCATATCCGCTTTCCTACTGGACATTATCGGAATGCGTTCAACTCGTCGACTGTGATAAGAAGCGTTATCTAGTACAATAACTGAATTTCGTTCTACACGCTGTAATACTTCAGTAAACCATTTTTCAAAGCATTCCGCATTCATGTCCTCGTGGTAGTCTCCTGTTTTTTTCCATATAAACACAAGAGCGCTATTTTCCAAAAATCCACTATCACTTCGGATATGGGTAACAATTAGGCGTTGTCCTTTACCTGATGGTGCTTTCAAACCTGTAGATAATCCCTTTATAAAAGCTTGGCGATGACTAGTTACAGAAGTATCTTGCCATATCTTAGATACCGTGTGTCCAGCATTCACCCACGTTTCATCGAGATAGTATATCTTTTTTTAGCGGCTCTAAACTCTTTAATATTTCGTAAATGACGCCGTCGCCAGGACACTATACCTGACCTCTCAATTAAAATTGATTTCCTACACCCTTTGACAAAACGAAATTTTAGGCCCCATAAAATTTTTCGTAAAGTTTCACGGCTCATTAATGGAATTTCTTCGTTTTCTCTTAATTTCGTAAGAACAACTTTAAGTGTTGGGGCTTTGTTTTCGAAAAAAAAGGAATGTACAGTTCTTCGAATGATTTGTTTTTGGTTATCGTCCAATTTCATCAATTTTCGACCACGGGTATGCGTTTTAGGGGCTTCTAAGGATCCTTTTTTTGTCTTTTTGCGTACAATACGTTTAATTGTTGAAACAGATACTCCAGTTAAAAAAGAACTGTGGTTTACAGCTTCATTTGTAGGAAGTGTCTGTTTCAGCCCATCATACACTTTCCATATAATGTTCTTTTCATCCTTTGATAAAGGATTTCGTCGACGTAATTGGGTTTCACTTGGACCCGCCTCTGAATCCATAACTATTGCAACAATATAATTCTACTATTAAATTTATAAAGACACCAATATTTTACTATTTAATAAACTTTTAAAATACCTACCTAATATACTACACAAATATAACTGCTCGAATATGCACTACCACTACCAAATTGTAAGGCAAACATGAACACCTACTCGTATATCAGAAAAGAGCACTTATACAAAAAAATATTTATAAAATATAAAATAATTATCGTAAATAGTTAAAGCGATACAAATCTAACTTCGTCGAAAGTTAGTTTTCAACTGTCTTTGTGCCTGTGCTGACAATATTCAATCCGTAACCCGTCTATCGTTTATTTACTTGAAACATATTTTAAAACCATTAAACACAGATAACGAAGTCATTAGGGAATAAATATATTAATTTCTTGAAAACTATCAAAAAGGTATATTTAACGCATCATCTTTGTTTAAATAAAGATGTTGACAAACAAATTTAATAAAGTTTACTAACAAATACCTAATAAATAATTATTTTGTATCTGATACGCCGCCTATGCTGACTCTGTCGGAATTTTCATTCATAGACAACAGTGTTGATCATGCATATGCCTGACCTTCTCCAATATTTTGTCCGAGTATAGTTATAAATTCGTAAAATAAGATATTCAGCGTTGCCATATTTACGAAGTTCTTTGCAACCCTAATATTTTGTTTAGATTAATATTGATTTTTAATAAAAAACTTCGCTTATATTAAAAACTTTAAAGAATAATTTGATTAAAAACATATTATTATTTGTATAATATAAAATTATAGTTATAGGATACATCAAATTTTATTTTTCGAAAGTAATTTCTCCAAATAATTTTTACAGACTGAGAAAACCGGCAAAGACGCAATAAACGAGAATCTGGTGGGAATAATGATTTGCCACATAAAAATGTAAACAATTTGGTCTCTTAGTTGTAATGTCTTTGACTTGTTCAATGTTAATCGATGCTAATTATTAGTTATTAAATATTTTGCTATTAAATTAGGCATTTTATTCTTCTGCACTTAGTGCCGCCTAAATAAAACATTTTTTGGTTTTTGCATGAACGTAGAAAAAATATTGTATGCAACTCGTGCAAAAAGTGTTTATTGCACTCGACAATTTCACGTCGCGTGCTCTAAACACTTACTTTTTGCACTTGTTGCATAAATAACTATTAAACAGATTTGATAATTTGTATATAGCAAAATTTTACATTTGACTGATATAAAAAAATATTAATTATCTACTAAACATACTATTTTGTAAAAAATACGTTACTTAGCATCCGGAATATATAGTAATGATAGCCCAGTCGTTGTGGAAATAGCTGGTATAACCCAAGACACTATGTGGTATAATATTGTTTTGCTTTCTTTTTGGTTTAGGATAAGCCTCATGTCTATAGCATAACAAAGCGTCCATATCCATGTTGCCGTATAAAAGTATTGCGTAAGAGCCTGAAAAAAAAACATAAGTTGTGTCAATTTTATTTGAAATATGAGTACTTAAGTATCAAAATTTAAATTTTTTTTGAGGCAATTAAATTTAAACGCCCAGATATATGCGCCCGACAACAATTTAATCATCATCATCATCATCTCTCTATATTTTAAATAGTCAAAACAAAGTTTTACAACTTCATATTGAATCTGTTTTAATAAATGTTTTGTAGTAAAATATTTACAGCTTATAGTAAAACTGGTCTTTTCTGTATTTTTCCTATTTATCTTCAATTTCTCCAACAACTTCGTCATTGGTTTTTTAATTGAAGAACGTTGAAAGTTTCGTCTGAAATATTTCATTAAGTGCTTTTCCGCACAAAATTTTTTTCTAAAGTATGCCATGAAAAAATCACGTATACCTACCTAATTTTTAAATGACAGTTGTGCGTAACTCATATATATGTCATTGTTTACTTTAAAAACACTCATTATTACTGCAAGATAAACTTTAGGAAATATCCCGTTTTTTAAAAAATGACTCTTATCCTTTTAAATTCATTTTACAAGAAAACAATTTGACGTCAATAAGGCTATAGTAAATGCAATGAAATTTCCAATGCACGTCATAAACTCATGAAAGAAGACGTTGCCACGTTGCTGCAAAATTCGAGTATCTCAAGAAACATTTTATTTAAAACTAGTGTTTAATTAATTATTTAAAGTGTCAAAAGATATGGACTTCAAATTAAACATTAGTTTTTAATAAAATGTTTCTTGAGATTCTCGAATTTTGTAGTAACGTGGCCATATGAACAAATGTATATGGACAGATTTTTTTGTACTTGTGTATAATTTTACAAAACTAAATATTTTACTGGCAACATGAGGAAGTTCCATAAGACCCCGCCGGCATCATCTTTCTTCCATTTAAATCCTATATTGGTTAACACTGTATACAATGAACATTTTTCTCTGCGTTAAGGATTCATGTAGTTGCTCAAGAGTTACTTGTTGTTTCTTCTTATACGTATCGTAAATGACATCACGATTGTAGTTAGAATTAAAAATTTTGATTAGAGGTTTGGGATATGGTCGTATTTTGGGAGGAGAATTTAAAATATGGTTATTCTTTAATGCCTAGGAAATTGAGCTTACCGTCAAAATATTCAAATTCAACGCCACTGCTATACGCTCTATGACTTATACTTATAAAGGGTCACTACTATCTCGTTTTTCTCTAAAATATCTTATTAAGAGACCCCACTAATTCTTTCACACGGCTATTTAAATGCTTAGACATTTTAAAAATAAAAATATTATTAAACACAATAATAATACTGTTGACAGTTTAACAGTTCAATTATACATGGCATAAAACGAAATGTTGATTTGACAACTGTCCGTTACGTATACCAAACAAAATGGCTACCAGTGCGTTTTGACAGGTTATGATGTGACAAAAATTATGGCAACCCTGTATGCCTGGTGATTTGACAAGGTCAATGTAATAGATAGTTACATAGATTGATCATCGATATGCTTATGCTTTAAAGTAAAAATGTAGGTAATTAATGAGCACTTGCGAGGCAATATGGCCGCTCGCAAATAACCCGCTTTGAGCAATCTATATAACTAAATATGCATCATTGATCCTGTCAATGACAACAGGCTCACAGGGTTGCCATATCTTAATGTCAGTTCTCACTTGTAAGCAGTTTCACAGGTCGTTGGAATGCCTAATTGTCCACTTTAGTCTTGAAAAGCAACAAATATGATTAACAGCAATAATTTATCTGTTCAATTTTTATAATTGATGACGTGTAACGGAAATTTCATTGCAATGGGTATACCTTCTTGTAGGACGTATTTTTGACGTCAACTTGTAACGTCAATTTGACGTCGTAATTTACGTCATTTTTCTGTGACTTAGGTAGTCATAATCACATCACTTGGACGTCATTGTGAAAGTCATCTTGACGTCAGTGATAATTACATAATTACGTACAAATCATCAGCTGATTAACTGGGTATTCTTTATCCATCAGTAAACAAAATGATTCAGCATTTCTTAAAATAAATAATTTAAATATAAGACGCATAGTAACGGTACTGCAAAATTATATCAGAAATAACTATACCTATTCATAGAATCATAATAGACTGGACTCTTCGTTTTTGTGGAAAATATCAATTCCCCATCTTCAACAAATCTATATCGTTAGATCCCAGCATGTACAACTATGAAAGCTACGAAACCCGTATTGTCATGACCTTTTTTAACCTCTTCAAATCTAAAAAATATTGTAGTTTAAAAACATCTGTTTTTTTTGCAAAGGAGTTTACTATTATTTTCAATTATGAATAAAATTGTAGTCTTTTATAATACGCCATAAACATTAAAAGCGATACAAGAATATATATTTGTTCTTCAATTCTAAATTTAGTATTTTGATTATAACATGCTGTCCTCTTGCTTTTATATCATAAATAACGTTTTGAGTTGTTCCTTTTACAGTATCACTTATATCATTAGTCTTTAACTTTGCTACAAATGCTATTTCTCTTTCTGTTTGCCGTTTTTATAATTGTGATACTCTAATGCTGATGTTTAAAGCATCTATAACTCGTTTATGCCTATATGAAAATGGTACCAAAGGTCCATTGTGTTCTTCCTTCATGGTAAAGTACTCCTCCAACAAATTGAAGACAAATTCTGTATTTTCTCCACTTATCGTGCTTCCAGGTATATTAGTATTAAAACCTAATGATCATGAATATGTTGCCTTTTCAATATAAAATTGACAACACGTCAAATTGACAAAATACCTTTTTAAAACTTGAGCGTACTTTACTGAACAGTGACCAACGCGACCGTGACGTCTTGGCAAAAAGTTTATTGTATGGTTAAATTAGATGTAGAACCCGTATGTTATCCATAGTAATAACATACGTTCACATACAGAAGTAGAACGCGTTTATATACGTAAACGTTTGTTGCATATTATTGCAGATACACGCCAAAATGGACTATACCTACATTCACAACTTCTCTATGTATAAAATATATTTAGAATAATAATAATTGGACTTACCGAGGATACTGCACAAAAGACCATACTAGAATCATCTTTAATTGAAGGCATAATATTTTTGTAACTTATCCATATTGTTGAACGAATAAATACACCTAAAAGGTTTTCATAATTAAAATTAATGTGCATGATTAGAATTCGAGACCAAAATAGCAGAGATTTTAAGATTTCTACCCCCTAACCGAATCCAAATCAACTAAAATTATTTATTATGGAGATAATTCTTTTTAAAACAAACCTTGAATCACAGAACTCTACTACCATGTCAAATTGTTTGAATTTATACAATATTAGTATTAAATTTTTAAGTCTGAAAAAAATTAAATTCATTTTAAAAATAAAATTGGCGCAGTCGAGGGATTCATGCAAGCTGTGAAAACTAAATATTGGAAAACAGACTTAAACTACTTTGAATTTTCACGGTTTTAAGAGTGAATTTTATCCGAGGAAAACCAATTTTCTTTCATAAAAAAAATTAAAATAAATAATATTTTTGTAAAATTATTATTGTATAGATATTAAAAAAAAGCTATATAATGGATTGTCACCAATGGAAGTAAGGACATATCGTCTATATAGAATATAGAAGATAGAAGAAGTATCCTTTATGGTCTACTTGCCCTATTCTAGTAAGATTATCAACAATAAGCAAGACGTAGGTTTTCTTTTCGCAACTGGTTACATAAAAAATGTTTAGAAACCAGTTTTATAATGTTCAACATCATGCAACTGGTAGCATGCATTTTAACACTTGCTGCGATTACAAAAAATGTAACTTTATATGTCAAAATTAGAAAAAAATTAATTGAACTACCTATTACTTGATTTTACACTATATAAATATAGAAATGTGCAGTGGCGTAGCCGCGGGGGGATCAGAACCCCCCTCCCCCATGGAAGGCCTTCGCGTCACCATGTCCGCTATCTTATTGGCGCTGATCGATATTAACTGTTTGTTAACCCCCCCATAATTCTCAGAAACCCCTTCCATGAAAAATTTCTTGCTACGCATCTGGATATGTGATGTGTACATTTTTACATCTAATATTTATATTTGTCTATTTAAGGATTTGTTTACCGAAAATCATAAATAGGAACGTTAATTGCACAATCTTCTTCAATTAGACTATTTACGTTACTATGTAAATATTTTACCAGGTAATCCATTGTAGTGTAATCTAATAATTAGATTTGTCTTTTAATCCAAAAAAAGATTATTATGACCTACTTAAATTACAAAAACCAAATACTCCTAACACAATACAAAATTAATAAATAATACAAACCAAATATACTAAAATATAAATTTTTTCAAAAAAATCGGAAATTACTACTACCACTTAAATACATTAATACTAAAAAAAAAAGACAACAGTTACTCCAAGCGACTCGCCCCGATACAAATACAATGAAAACAATAAATGAGGGGTCTAGTTTCAAAGTGTACAAACTCCAAATGAGTACAATATTACACGATCATACAAAAACGTAAATAAATCAAAACATAAACTCTTGATGAAATAGATGAAAAAGCAAGATAGACAAAAACTAGTCCAAAAATTTTTTCTATTTCGAAAAATCTCGAAAACTGTTTTGAATCAGAAATTTTAAGTAATGACGCTAAATAAGTGTAAAATAATATAAATTCATAATAAAATAGATGAAAAAGCAAGTTAGATAACAAATAGCCCAAAAATCTTAAATGTTTAAAAAAAAGTCCATGAATATATAAGACGATTTCCACATAAAGGTTTTGAAAGCATTTGCAATAAGAAGGCAGTTTTTGACAAAACTTTTGTTACATATATTGGTCACACCAACTGATATTTTTAACTCAGTATGGCTGAATTGGTGGTAACGAAAATGCAATAGGCTATACTACGATTTTCAAGATCTGCACAACTTCATCTTATCGGGCGAGTACAGTACATGTTCATGGTCCTAAATTTATCATCTTTGATTGAAACAAACACCCTCTAGGTAGACCTAAATGTAAGGGGTTACAGAGCTTATAGACTTTATCTCAGTAAGAAAATATATATGCCTGGAAACATCAGATGATGTATGTTCCTCATTAATACTTTTCAAGCCTCTCTATAGAGAACAATATAAAAAAATCAGTGATATTGACACAGCTATTGAATAGACACAAATATCCCACTACCGGGAGAGGGGACTATATGTTTATAAATAATTATTTTCTTTTTTAATACTTAATTAAAAATAATGTTTTGCGTAGATGTGTTAAATTTTATGTTTAGAATTTTTTTGAACATTATAATTGTACTTCATTTAAAGTTACATAAAGGATACTTCATCACATATCATCAGACTGAAAAATGTATTCGCATTTCGAAGGTAATGAAGATTTACACTCTTAAGTGTATCGCTATTGTTTGGCCTTACGTTCATCCTCTAGATTTCAATTGTAAAAGACCACATTACTCCTTAAATGTTGTATAATAACAATAAACCTTTATAAGAGTTATATCTATATATTTACCTAAAGATGCCAGTAAATCAGCAATAGCTAGCCAAACTATTATTTCTCTGCCCCTCTTTGCGGAAGAGGAAAGCCATCTGTGATTATTTGTTAATTGTTCCCGTGGTAAAATCTGAAATAAAAATATAGGTACAAAATAAGTTAATAATTTTAGATGACAATAATTATTCAGAGAATATCACTTACAATATAATATCATACACCCTACTTGACTATATAATAACTGATAATCATGCTCGGTACATTAACGCTGTAAAATCTAGTAAGCAAGCTTTTGTCATGTTTTGTTACTGTAACTATAAATTATTGAGCTGTCATATTTTATTAATTCGTGATATTATCACTAGTAATACCACTAGAGGTCAAATTATTTCCGGAAATTTTTTCGAGCTCATGAAATTTTCTAAAAATATTCATGAGCGAGAAAAAATTTCCTGATATTAATTTGACCTCGCGTGGTATTCGGTAAGAAAATTCCACGCCGAATTATGGTTGAAAATTAAATATTTTTAAAATTTATTTTTCGTTTCTCAACAATGCAAATTATTTTCTCCAAGTCACCAGTGAAACATAAAAGGTGTTGTCGCCTTGATTGTTGAGTTGTCATGGTAACTAAGTGAGACCCTAACTTCGAATATAATTTCAGTTTTGAAGTTGTCAAGCGGCCCGACGTAAAAAAATGTTTCGCTGCAATTATTTAGGCCTTCAAATTGCTTATTTCTACTCATTGTAGTTGCATGGGAATACCATTTGAAAATAGAAAATAGTATATTCTTTAATTTTACGTAAGTTTTGAATAACTACAAGTGGTAGAAAATTGTTTTTCTGCGTTTTTATTAACATGCGTTATGAGCGCTTTAAAATGGTATGAAATTCATAACCAACTTGAAAAACGAAAATTTGTTCTGAATTGTCCACGAATATTTGCACCTAAACTACGCAAAATTCAAAGTGCTGAATGGGAAAAAGGTGAATAAATTAGTGTCTAAATATTATATATATTTTATTAGACATAGACACATAATTCAAAGCATCCAAAGTCCTGCATTTTCGCCATTAAGAAGAAAAGAAGTGGCCGAAGAATATAGAAAACACCTTAGCATTGTAACTAAAATGTATCAAAACTAAACCTATTATGTGAACAAATAAAAACCAGTCTGTCAAAAATGGTCTGTTATTGTAAACGTCAAAAAATTTCCAGTATAATTCGCTGTTGGGTACCCCACGAGAAAAAAATTTCCACTAAAATACCTCCGTTGCCATGGTGATCTGTCAAAAACACGTATTTTGATTGGAAAATTACAGGTGTGGAATTTTCTACTAAATGCAACTTTTAATATCGGTTCTATATACAATCCCATTAATTGAAGCACTCAGCTTGTTGTCCAAGGTAATATCACAAGAGGTAAGAATTTTTTGAGAACATTTTGATTAAAAATTATACGTCTAAATTTCACGAAACAAAATCCTCCTTAAAATACCACGAGTGGTATTTCAATAGGATTTTGTTGAGTGAAATTTGCATAATTTGTAAGAAAACAACAATGTTTAAAATAATCTCACCTCGCGTGGTATTTGAAAAGATTTATTTGACAATATGTATTTAAAGAGCACTTTTATAAACAACCTTTATTTTGTTTCCGTAAGACAAAGTCGAATCTTTATTTACAATATACAGGGTGGCCCATTAGTGCGAGAAAGTCCAATATCTCTGTTATCATAAGAAATATAAGAAAATGTTTAGATAAAAGTTATAGGATTTACTTTTTTGCATGTTTCTAAATTACTGCAAAATATATAGGGTGTTCCGTTACATCGGGATAGCTTATATGTCGATGTTTTTAAATGACTCACCTTGTATATTTTTTCACCGGTAATTTCAGCGTATGTTACGTTTCAATACTGTTTCTTTTTTAAAGTCGGCGACGTTGTCAATTTATGACAAAAAATGTGAAAATTAATGAAAAATTGTTTTTGACAAATATTATTAAAAAAAATTTGTTATTGACAGTTAAGGGTCTATTTATACTCCCTTATTATTAGTATTTGCATTAGTATTATGATTAAGCATTAAGTTGAACCTTCACAATGTAATGGGGACATTTATACTCGATTTATGATTAGTATTAGCATTTATTATTTATGCTTAATAATTGACAGGTTCAACTTTTAAATTAAATATTAAATTTCTTCTTTTCTATAAATTGAATCAATAACGTATTTGGCCTTTGTTTTTAATAGACAAAGGATAGGGATAATTGACAATACACATATGATTATGTTGTTTATATGTTTGTTCCAACAAGCTCGAAAACGATAATATTTTGGTACAAATCATGCGTTGTATACAATTTTTGTGTATCAGCAGTGTTTACCGATTATAAAGTTGACAAATGACATGTCACCACGAGGAAGCAAAGGCCTCTTTTCTGTCTGATTTGTATCAAATTTCTGCTTCTTTTTATCTGTTATAAATTTGAGACTGAAATCCGTTAAAATGTCCTTAATTAAACCTATTTTTGAATAATAATATTTTTAAATAAAATTAACTAGTAAAAATATTAATAAAAACACATTTAAAACTCAAATATCTTAAAAGAACGCAACTCTGGCCTCTTACATATTTCTTCAGTAACCATATATTTTGTTGACTGCAGAATTATATCTTATTAGGTATTAGGTTTAAAAAAGAATTACTAATACTAATTATAAAACGAGTATAAATACCTTTTTTGAATGATTTAACAAATTTAATGCTTAATCATAATACTAATACAAATACTAATACTAAGGGAGTATAAATAGACCCTAAATTGGCACTTTCACTGCTCGGCTTTCTAAGCATGCGCATGTATAGTGCCCACTGTACTTTTATTTTTAAAAATTCAGATGTTAGGCAACTATTTATTGAGATTAAAAATATAAATTTATTGGGAAATACAGAATAAAAATAGAAGACATTAAATAAATATTTTTGTGATGTAATGAATAAAGGAATTAATCAATAGGAAGAAATTGGAGAAGAAGAATACGTAGGAAAAATAAGGTTGAAACGCCAGATAAAATAGAGATAAAAGAATTTTTAAATAATAACTCATGATTCATTAACCTACCTGGTAGATAGCGCCTAAAATCCCCAAAGTTGATGACAAAATACAAACAGAGTTGTAAGCATCGGTATCAAAATCTTCTATGATCCTTATAGCTACATCTGTTCCATTTGCATGATGACAGCAGAAAGTCTGTATAGTTGGATCAGCCATTTTTCACAATCACTCCGCACTTTACACTTAATATTTTACGTAGAAGCCACAAAAATTTATATGTAATTTAACGAACACAGGTCGATATCCGTATCATATTAAATATTTCCTGCTGTAAGCGTCTACATCGTATGAGAGAATAATCATAAAATTATCTTTGGCCATAAATTAGAATTCAGTTTTAACATTTTATTTTTATTTTGATAAATAAATGAAATTTGTTGGTTTATCTCTATTAAAACATATATAGGGTCATTTAGATTTTGATTGGAGCTCGATTTGTTTACGTTATCACGGAAACATATTCTTTTTATTATTGAAGAAAGATTTTACATTTATTTGCAGACTGTTTTTTTTAATATACCAGAAAAAAACGTATGAAAGAGTACGCAAAGAAGGTTGATTTTATTTTAGAAAGTTGCAAAAAACATCTGACAGCATACAACCACTATGTTTATGTTTAAATAATAGTTACGTGAACACTAGCAAGAAACTTGGGACATTTATTGTGAGAGTTGCAGATGCAGTATATATTGCAACACTAAAGTTGATCTCAGTCATATCTCAACAAGTAAACGTTCTCTCGTGTGTGTAGTCAGTAGTGGTTTCTCAGAGATAAAAACATATTTCAGGACATGTTGGATTTTTTTTAAGGAGAGCTGACATTTTTAATAAAGCTCCCAGATAGCACAAAAACATCCCATCTACGTTAATAAGCTGCAATTTTAGGCTCTTTAAGCTCGCATGCGATGTTACTTTTAATGTAACCCTAATATCCCTGCAACCGCCGAATGTCCGCAACGGCAAGATTTTTATAGCACATCTCACAGAGGTTACAAAGTGAAGTTCGGAAAACATTACACTAGCACTTTTACGGTACTTTCCCCGAAAGTTGCTCTGAAACGTTTTATAGATGTTACAATGTGAATTCATTCTACAGTATTATACAGTGTGTGCACTAATACTTGTAAAAATATTACTTTTAAAAAAAGTAATTTTCATGGAGTCTATTCTGTAACAATTCCTTTATATTTTAACGCCCGTTATTAGCGAATTAGAAAATATGTTTAAATGCCGCCAATATTTTAACGGTCGTTAAAATATAAAGGAATTGTTACAGAATAGACCCCCATGAACGTTACATTTACGTTGTATAGTAATGTTATTACGTTCCCTTAAAACAACATCGCCGAAAGACATGGCAACGTTATGTGCTAGCTGGGCTTGGTCCAACTAGTTCCAAAAGATAGTTGAAATCTTGTTCTAACATTCTCAAAAAAAAATTAATTTGCTTTGGAACTTGTTCTCAATTCATACAACAACGTCTTGTGAAATCCAAGATCACATCTTCTTGGTCATTTTCTTGTCCAAATTTTTTTTTTTTGCTTTTTCAATAAAAGTAACACCGTTAATGTAGCAACAATTCTCGTTTTTGGGCTGATATTTCTGAACAGATCAATTACCTGTCAGTAACATTTTACTAAACATGTTGCAAATTGGTGTCAATACACATGAAATATTATTTTCTATTACTCCTAAAATGTCCTTGCTGCATTAGCGACAGAAGTGCACAATAGATGTTTTAGGTCGCAATGTATTAATACCCCATTCCCAACTTAAGTACCACTGCGAGATAGCTATAAGGTCATACCTGAAAATTTTAAAGATTGGTAAATGGATTATTATAAATTTTTGTAATATCGGCGTAAAATAAGGTTATTGTAGATCACTGGCATAAATAGTGAAGAGTAACGGTCCCAGAATGGAGCCTTGTGGAATTCAGCTAGTGAGTTACTGACTCTTACTTTAAAATGTATTCGTTAAGCGACTTTATCAGAGGCCTTGGAGAAATTTAAATAAACTATGTCAATAGGTTGATGATTATCTAAAGCCTTTGTCTAATCACTAACAAAATGCAGTTTATGTGAGATTCGAAAGAGAAAGTCAGTCATGATAAATAATTCCATAATTTTGATGATAATTGGTAGAGACGGTAATTTTTGGGGTCTAATTATTACCTGTTTTTAACCGACTTCAAAAAAGGAAGTGGTTCTCAATTCGTCGTAATTTTTTTTATGTATGTTCAGCAATAATTCTTTAGCACGGTGTCCGCTTTCAATGATTCTTTTTTGTTAGAAAGTGGTTACTTCAGGGGTGGTTCCATACTAATGTGGTCAAAATCTAATAATTGTTTTCATGAGAAAATCCTCAAACTCTTCCATTTTCATGTATGTTTAGCGATAATTCTTTACCACCTTGTCCGATTTCTATGATTCCTTTTTTGTTAGTAAGGGGGTACCTCAGGGGTGGTCTCGTCTTAATTTGGTCAAAATCTAATAATTGGTTCATGAGAAAATCCTCAAATTTTTCATTTTTTATATATGTTTAGCGATAATTATTTACCACCTTGTCCGATTTTTATGATTATTTTTTTGTTAGAAAAGAGATACCTCAGGGGTATACTTCCATATACAACTAGTCAGGATCTGATGATCTATGAGAAAATCAAAAATCTCAGTTTTAAGGGCATCTGCATGATTTTGAAGTCGGTTTTTTAATTAAAAAAATTATTAAAACTTAGCAGATAATGATGGCTATTATTCACAAGGGTGAAGTTTACAATACGGGTCTTAGGCGAGTGTCTTAAATTACCCGTTACTTTGGCTTTGTCAATTAATTGAAAAGCTGTTCTTAATAAACTTCAGATCAAATATCTACAGAAGGGCCAAAAAAACTAAAAAATATCCTCAATTAAATAAGCTAAACTTACACATTTCGCAGATTGGCAGCAATCTTTAGAATCCAAAGGCACTATAGAGTAACCGAAATGAAAAAATCCACGATATATTATGATTCCTAGTCTCCAGTGGCATAACTAGAAACTGGTGGCTTGTGTGTAAATAATGTTTGGTGACCCTTACTTGAGCAGGATTCGAACTTATTATGACACGTCCATTATCGTTCTAGGCTTTCAAGCGCTAGGCGAACGCGACCAAGGAGCCACTGAAAAATGTTTACTAGATACGGTATTAATAGAATAAGATTTCAAACTTTCGCTGATAGAATGAAATGTAATAGATTCAATTTGTCAATTTTTAATGACCAATTCTATTAAAAAAAAGGAAGTGTGTATAGATGGGTATATTACCTTGTAGGCTTAATATATAATGACCTAAAATGGACGTCCAGTGGACGTCAAAATAACACTAAATTTAAAATTGTCCAAAAACAGACATCCTCTGAGTATTGATATGCAGCTGTCAAATTAATGATCATAAACGGACGTACACTGGATGTCCGAATTCGGATGTTCTGGCCCTCAAATGGATCTAAAGTGAATGTCCGTTGGACTATGTGTGCTGACTGGATAGGTATTTGAATTGCTAAAGATTTTCTAAAGGAATTAAAACACAAATAATTAATAAAATACTGTTATTCAGACTATAACGCTGTACTTATTGTAAATCATATTTATGTTTGCAGGATTGATTAATCATGAGCTTCTTTCTTATCCTCATAAAAATCAGCGGAGAATGAAACAAGCTGGTTTAAAAACACAATATTAAATTTTATTCACTGACATTTGGAATATTGATGCCTTCTGTGACATCTTACAACTTTAATTTATTTTGAGATTTGTTTAAATAAATAGTGATACTTAAAATGAGATAAAGCCAGCTTTAAACTTTCATGAAGTGATATGTGTATTGCGTTAAAGCAGAATTGCACTTACCTTAGTTTTTGATTCCAGAAGTCTTCTTTTTGCCAAATTGGAGAAGGAATACTAAAAACGCACTATTTCGAGACATTTCAAATAAAAACAAGAATGTCATTGATTTCATCGATATTATTTTAAAAAGTAATTCAAGCACTTGCTATCTCCAATTAAAAAACATTTGAAACTACAAGAAATTTACATAAACCCTAAAATAGTGGTTTTACTATCCGATTCTTTCCCAACAGCAATGTACGCATTATATTCCAGAGCGAAAAATGTTTAAATAAGTTTATTTTTATTCGGAAAGTGTCATTTTAAGTTTACCTGATTTTTTAACGACTAGCGGTGTAAATTTTGAGAAGATTTTAAAAGCTACACAAGGCGCGTAGCGCCACTTAATATAGTAGGCCGTAATTTGTAATTTTTGACATCTAGGCGATATCGTTCATTTAAATTTTCGACCGAATTCTATATCTCGGGAACCACAAAAGTAGGTACCATGATTTTGGTGTCATTTTGCTTGTCTAAGTGTCCCTAGCTTATATCTGAGTCCGATAAGGTTTTGGCTTTCTCTATCCCGAGATCGCGGCGCACGGGCAGACATATATAGTGAGCATCATAAGTCTTACCCCCCTAACTCGTTACTGGAGTCTTGTTAGGAAAATAGCCGAGACATGTCGATTTTTGATTTCTACAATGTACATTTTTGTATGAATAGTTTACCCTTAATTTCATCCCTTACTGGAGAGGAGCAACCCTTTCGAAAAATTTAAATGGCATGGGGTGGTGAGTGATAGCTCATTTGAAAGGGGGTTTTATTCTCTATTCAACCGTGCAAAAAATTTTGAAATTTGCTTAACGAGTTAGATAGGGGGGGTAAGACTTATGATGCTCACTGTATATTGGCACTTTAATATAGTAGGATTATTAACATTAAAACCTCTCATACCAGGTGGTGTAGACCAGTTGATGCGATAACCCATCTAGAATCTAATATACCAAATTAATCCAGAGGTCGAGTGCCAACTGGGCGCGTCCGGCGCGTCTCCGGGCGGTAGATAAGAGAACGGCCACGATTTTTTGGTAGAAGTATAGTAAGAGAGCTTAAAAATCTTTTGCGAAGGCTACCGCCGCGAACCACCTGCCACAATCTAAGGTGTAGCATAGGCAACCAGTATCACAAGTGTGTATATCATGTTGCCTATATCTTAATTATTAGTTAGTTGTATGCGCAGGTCGCAGGTCAGCGATACTGCAATGGCTGTCCTTCGGTGTTCAGCTCATGTCGTGCGGTCTCGCTGCTGTGTTAAGTATCGCTTGTACTTAATAAATAAATAAATAGTGAACCTACGTGAAATACTGATTACTAAATACCTACCTTTCCACAACGAACACGTTATATAAGGACGTGCCGATAGATGAATTGTCGCAGGAGTACATGTGTCATTTAACGTTTCCCTGGGTTCACCAGGCGACACCCTCTTGTATCTAGCCTTGCCGTCCCATGCGGGGCTCTGCGTCGGTCGACTTCTCCTTCCACAAGCAACATTTTAAAAAAAAAACAGCGGTAATACACCTCCCCCAAATCTAATCGAACGAAGCCTGTTATCCGAAGCTATCAAACTCCCTCAACCTCTCATATGTGGGACAACCTCGATAGAGAGAAATGAGGAAACACAAGAAAGAGGCGAAAGGGAGTAGAAAAGATACCGTCATCAGTGGGAACGATACCATCATTGATGGAAAACGAAATGGCAGGTATTCGCGTCATTGAGAAGTGTATCCAGTTCAACATCGAGAGAAATTAACGCAGACAAGATATTATCATGTCCGATAGCCAAGCAGCCATCAAAGCGCTGGGCTCAAAAATGGTCTGAAGATGCCTAAAAAAACTGATTGAGCTAGGCGAGGAAAATACACTTACTCTCACAAGGAAAGGGACTCAAATATTATTTGTGGGACCTAATCGATCTGTGGTATCAGCAGTAACACAATATTGTGAGAACAAAACAGAATTGGACAACAGAAGAACCGATCATTGATAATCTCCTGGGGTTAAGACAGGCCTGAGCAAGAACAGGCTAGGCTCATTGTCACAGGTAAAGGCAATGTAACGTTTAGCCAAAATTCTTGATTTTAATCAACACATCCACGGAGGTAAAACATTTTCAAAAATTGACTGTCATAACTGCCTCTTTTAGTCTGCATTAATAAATTTTTGAGAATGCTTTTTGGTATGCAAAATTTAGCACATACATTTTATACATGAAGTTGTTTGTTTTCTTTTATATTCGTTTGTGATTAAAAAAAAACGAAAGTCCACAAACTAAAATTTACTCTAGTATTTGGGAGTATTGGGCGAGGAATTTACAATTTTAGAGGAATTTAGAGGTTCTGTGAATGAAGAACCTTTTAAGAATACTATATGACAATTTGAGATGAATCGGAGCAAAACTAACGAAGATACGGCGGATTGAGTAACCACGCCTTATACATATGACGCGCGCTATTGTTACCTGGCAGCTGTTTCGCTCTCTATATAATCTCTAACCTTACCTCCCACCTTTCTTTATAGAAATTTCAACGCAAGAACAAACGTGTTTATACCTGTACTGTATATATAATTTAGTGTAGCATTGGCCTGCCAGGTTCTTTTGCTTTACTAATCTCCATGCAAGACATGGAAATCAGTAGTGGATTAAGCGCTCATGAATGAGGATTCGACCTAAACAGGAGCAAAAAGATGCTTTAGACATCATGGATATAGCAACATCCTTTATGGACCTGACATCGATGATTCAGTGTGAGATAAGCCGATAAAACTCGCTTATAAACGTTTTATTTCAAATTTTTTAGTGTTCAAAACTTTAAAGCATTTTTAGTGTTCAAAACATTTTTCTCACAACACTCGTTTCCAAAGTCGGTGCCCCTCATAACTTCAAAACCACTGCACCTATCCTTTCGAAATTTTGAACACTATTTCTGTACATAATTTACGAGGTAACGCTGGAAAGTTTTTTCAAATTTGTTTTTACTTCAAAGTGTTCCCAAAAAGTGAAAAATTGAAATTTCGAAAAACCCTTCCGGCGTTACCTGAGGAAAACGATTATCTAACGAAAGAACTTTATTTTTTTTATTTCTGATGATCCAGCACCAAGTTAGGAGGGGCACCGCAATTCTACTTTTTTCCGAGACGCTTCCGAATAATTGATGTCATTTCCGTATTTTTTAATATTTCTACATGAAAATTTGACAGAATATTCTTTGAATGTTATACTTTAATGTACCATTAGTTTAAATAAACAAATAAACTATGTCGTCAAAAAAAAAGTTCACAAAAATGTTCCTTTTTTGCACGAATTAACCTAACCCCCCTCCCCCCCTTAAGCCGGAAACTTTAAAATCAATGAATTAATCAAAAAATAACAATTTGTTTATTGTCTCTATTTCAGGTACATTTAATGGAATGTTCTTCAAATTTGTAATTCGAAATCAGAACTTGTTTATTCTTGACCTGGAATGTAAAATTAGTTAAAATTTATTACAAGATAACTACAATCACTTTCTATACAGTAAAGTTAATATCAAAATTTACGTAAAAATAAAAATCCGGTAAGTTTATTGTTTCTTCTTTTTCAGTTTTTTATTCTGACCTGATCCGGGGTACTCGAATATCAGCCACAATTGCAATGCACAAATCACGAAACCAGCAATATTTTGTATCTAAAAAAATCAATAAATAAATAAATAAATAAATAAATAAATAAATAAATAAATAAATAAATAAATAAATAAATAAATAAATAAATAAATAAATAAATAAATAAATAAATAAATAAATAAATAAATAAATAAATAAATAAATAAATAAATAAATAAATAAATAAATAAATAAATAAATAAATAAATAAATAAATAAATAAATAAATAAATAAATAAATAAATAAATAAATAAAAAACAGCAACAAACAAAAACATTCTTAATAGGCCATAGTAGATATAGAGAGGCATGAAATGAATCATTACTGGAGGGATAATATAGATCAGCAAGGTGCTTGCACCGAGTTGAGCTATTTCTGAGACTCGTATTATAATTTCCCGCATGATTTTCAGTAAACATTGAAGTTCTATTCATAACCGTTGTTAATGCGTTCTGGAATATATTCTTTATACATGCTTTTTATATCCGGTTTTTGAATATTCTTTGACATACATGCATAGTACATTCTTTAGAAGTAAGACAAAGATGGTAATTTTTACATTCATGTATAAGTTCCAGGACAAGAATATCACGTGCTTTTATAATAGGTTTATGCTACGTCAGAAAATAAAAATATTTTTGTTTTTGAAAATTGAATAGTACTTTTATTTAGGTCATTATTTAAGAATTAAATATGCAGCTATGCTGTCCAGAGCCTATTGCCTCGCTTATAGCACATAGCATTATCGTTTAATTTTACGTAACAATTAAAAACAAACAAAAAATATAAAAAAAAAACTAAAAAACTAAAAAAACAAAAATAACAAAAAATAACAAAAAATAACAAAAAATAACAAAAAATAAAAAATAACAAAAAATAACAAAAAACAACAAAAAACAAAAAAAAAAACAACACCAAACTGGAATATTCTGATATTTGTGTCACTAAAATAAATCTAAAAGTCAATCATCGGACCATTGGCATTACAGGTGTATACAGGTCTCTTCAAACCTCTGCACAAGCATTTATAAGGGATTTAGAAAATTTCATACCAAATCACCTAAATAGAAATATTGAAATATTCATAGGGGACATTAATATTGATCTCCTAAATGTAACCAATCAAGTAACTACTGATTACCAAGCAACTTTTTACTCTCATAGTTTCATGTCTTACATAAACACTATTACGAGGCCACAAAGTAAAACATGCTTGGATCATATATTCTTAAAAAACAATATTAAGACTGAAAATCTATCGGTGAACTCTTATGTAATCAGCTATGATATGACCGATCATGATCTTATTATGATAAATATCTCACAATCTGCCAAAAACTACACTATTGGCACTAATATGTTTACAAATATCCCTGAATGTAATGTGGATTTTCCTGTGTCACTGAAAAATCAATGTTTCTGAAACCGATATGCGAAAACGATATTATAAAACATATAAATAGTTTAAAAAACAATAGTGCCCGGGATTTGATTGTATAACAGTAAAACATCTGAAACTACTACATCCGTATTTACTGGAACCTTTAATGCATATAATTAATTGTATTTTTAATACAGGAATCGTACCTAAATAATTGAATCGGTGAGTGAAAGAACAGTATATATCCAAAATTACCATTTTGAGAAAAACAAAAAAAACTGTTTTAAAGGAAAACTATGGGTTATTCGGCCTAATTATGTATTGTGAAGTTATAGAATTTTTGTTAACCGATAATATTACGTAGATAAATTTAAAAAGAAAATTATGAAAAAATGATATTTGAAAAAAATGACTTGCAGTTATACTGTTTTTTCACTCAATTTAAAAAAAATACTATAAAATTTAAAACTTCAATTATAACACCAATTTATAAAGCTGGTAATCCAAAATTAATAACTAACTCTAGACCTATTAGTTTAATTAGTAATGTGGCCAAAATATTTGAGAAATGTGTGAAAGATAGACTAACAGATTTTTTAAAAACTAATGACTTACTTCCCAAGCACCAATATGGCTTTACTGAGGGTCTTAACTCAGGAGATGCTATGCATGAATTGATTTCATATGTTACTGATGAAATGAATACTGGTAACAAGTGTATACCTATATTTCTAGATCTAGCAAAAGCATTTGACACGGTGCCACATCAGAAGCTCTTAAATGTTCTTGAACAGAATGGAGTGAGGGGCATCGTGTTGAAGGTTTTTGAAAATTATTTGACACACAGACAACAGAAGGTAAAGGTCAAAGACAATGTGAGTAACCCTGAAAATATACAAATCGGAGTGCCTCAAGGGACTGTTCTGGGACCTATACTATTTAATTTATAATTAAGAGCTTAACTCAGATTGATATTCAAGGTAAAGTTGTATCATATGCTGATGATACAGTGCTAGTCTTCAGTGATAAAGATTGGGAAGCCGTCAAGACACGTGCTATAGCTGGAATGGAACATGTCAAAAACTGGCTGCATGTTTTTAAATTGTCTTTGAATGTTAACAAAACAAACTACATTGCTTTTTCAAAGACAGTGGCTGATCGACCTCAATTTAGAAGCTTAACATGTCAAAATTTAGACATACAGGAAACAGAAACATCCAAATATTTAGGTATAATTATAGACCAGCACTTAAAATGGGACTGCCATATAATATATACAGGGTGAGTCAGGAGGAGCGCACCAAACTCTAGGAGTATATTATACACGTGAAAATAATGTAAGAAAACTCATATGTTCTTATCCGATTTTCATTTGTTTTCAAGTTATGGCGTAATTAAAAATGTTCATCTAGCTTTCCACTTCTGAATTTTAACATTATCTAAGTATGCCATATGTTCAAGGCTCAAAGGCATTTGATAATTCTGACGTTCTGATGAACTGTCAGTGTACAGTCAACAGTAACTGAACGTTTAATTTCGAATTTATGTGATAGTTTAGAAGTCAATGGCGGTATTTTTGAATATTTATTGAAAGAACGCTATGATTAAGAGAATTTTTATGTGTAAATTTGTTTATTTGTTAATATGCTATAACTTAAAAACAAATGAAAATCGGATAAGAACATATGAGTTTTTTTACATTATTTTCACGTGTATAATATACTCCTAGAGTTTGGTGCGCTCCTCACGACTCGCCCTGTATAGCAAAAAACTTACGATTTCCGATTTATAAATTTTATCTTCTAAAACAATTTCTCAACCAGGATCTATTAATAACATTATACTACAGTCTAGTAGAATCTATACTACGGTATGGAATCTTAGTATGGGGAAGCCTGTATGGAACTACATTAAATCAGTTAAATGTTATTCAAAACAAAATCTTGAAGTTAATATATAAAAGAGATAGATTGTGTCCCACCAATGTTAGATGTTTATATATTCACGCAGTGTGTTGTTATATACAAAAAAATTAATTTTTAAAAAACCCTTTAGAACATAGACATAACACTAGAACTGCATCGAACATGTGCATTAAAGTACCATAACCAAATAATTTTTTAAAAACAGTGTAAATTATCTAGGGACAAAGTTCTATAACGCTTTACCTCTTTTTATAAAATTATTAAACAAATATAAAAAATTCTGTAAAGTTAGCAAAATATACCTTTTTCGAAATAATGCAAAGTTTATCAGAATATTCCAAGAATAACGGACCTAATACATGAATTTTTTTTAAATAGTTTTTTTCTGTTTCTTGCATAAATTGTTCAAGTTTTATTTTTTATTTAAAAAAATTTTTTTTACTTCCTTCATGTTATATATAATTAAAATAAAATTTTAATTTTTGTCAGAACATACAGGTGTTCTCACCTAGGTGCTTGTTATTATATAATTGGTTTCCATTATTGTACTTTATTGTAACTTATTTATTATTGTAACTCATTGTAACTTATAACTATTAAACTATTAAATAACCAAAAAAACAACAACAAAAACAACCAAAACACAACCAAAAAAAAACAACCAAAACACAACCAAAAAACAACCAAAAACCAACCAAAAAAACAACAACAACAACAAAAAACCAACAAAAAACCAACAAAAACCAACAAAAAACGATGTACTAACTTCAGGTATGTATGATGCAGATGCCAGTTTGCATAAAATATATTAAAAAAATATGGCTAATGTAAAATAAACAAAATTAAAAATGTGCCCAACAGTATGTAGAGAATTATACAAAATTATGGGTACTTAAAAATTATAGGCTAAGCGCAATTGACTGCCAGACCTACGTTATAGTATGGCGGTTAAGATTTTTTTATGTGTATGCAAAAATAAACTTACCACCATAAAAACATTACTAATTGCCAGACCATATAAAAACCAAAGCAATGACACCAAAGTACTCATAAATGTTATAGGAAATGGAATTGATGAAGCGTCTTTCGTATCAATAATAGTTTTCTGTAAAAAAAAAAATAAATTACAAGATTCTACCTCATAACTCAGAATCTTCACAAATATAACAAATAAATTATTTTAAATGCCAAATAAGTAATGTAGTAGTTCAAACTGGTGTTTTGATTCACTTTTTAGTCCTAATGAATGATATCAATACTCCTATCAAAATAGGTATAACTCAATTTAATGATTTTACAGGGGCGTCACAACACTAACAAAAGTGTTTTAAAATATTTGTGGAGAAACTGCATAATAAAATGAAAGAAATTGAAGTGAGAAAAATCGGCCGAGATCTGGAAAACTGAGAAAATGTAATTTTGGAAATATGAAAATGAATAATTCCCAATTCCTCTTACAAAAGTTTTACTCAATTACAGGCTAATTGAATTATTTGTATGAACATTTTGTTACGTCGTCTCTAAACTATTACTTAAAATAGTGACCATAAATCATGCAAATCATTATAAATTCTAATGGGGACACCCTTCTGACTTCTAATGGATATTTTTTCCTTTGTTCATACTGCAAGTTTAAATAGTAATTTAAATTAGTAAACTAACTCTCTTACCATGTCTACAAGTGGTAAAGCTAACAATAACAACATTAAGACTGTCATCAGTAAACCATATCTAAATTCTACACTTCCTGGATCTTCCCAATTGGCATATCCCAAACCCAGTGCACAAAAGCCGGAAGCTAGAGCACAAGGTTTTAAAATGTTTTCATATTTATTTTCGGAATACTGATAATAAAATGCTGTATAAAATATATTTAGTATTATAGCTGCAACATTGACTTGGAACATTGCGGAATCGTTCATTATATAAGCTAGTTTCAACATTAAGATGCCACTAAAAAAAAATCAATCATTAAAAAACTTTCAAATCCTTTATAATTTCAAATTTACTATTAAAGGTAAATGTACTTTTTAATAAGACTACTTTTAAAACATGTTTAAAAACAGAACAATGTAATGACTTATAAATATTTATATAACACTCCTTATATGATTATTCTTGCTTAAGTATTTTATAAGTGTTTCATAAGTGTTTTATACTTATATACCAGATACGTATAAAACACATAAAAATTACAATTTTTATTACACGCTTATAATGAAAATAATAATTATATAACTCTCTAATATAACAAATTATACTCGGCGATAATTTGATATTTACGTATACTTTTAAATAACAGTTTTATAATTGTTGCAAAAGAGGACATATTAAAACATTTATAAATCTCTTACAAAATTAAAACATCTTCAAAGAAGATTTGATTATTTAGGCTCACTTAGTCTAACCTAACTTTTTCATTTTAATTTCTTAAAATGTCCAGTACGTGGAAAAACCGGAAGAGAAACGGATACTTTTGAAAAAAAATTAAAGCAAATTATGAGAGGATTTTGAGTAGCACAGTTACTAGGGTACAATATATCCAAAAAGTTAATGCTGATATAATAGGACCGAGTAAGGACTGCACTGAAGAATCAGCCAATATACATTGTAGTCGTAGTCGTTAGTCTGATCAAGAAAACAAATGTTTAGATATCAATAATGATAGCAGTAGTAGTAGCCCAGATTTCTGCAATGCTCCAGAATCTAGTGATGATGAGGATAATGCTATATTGACTGAAACCAGCAAAAACTGTAAAACAAATGAACAAATCCGAGCTTGGGTTGTTTCATTTAATATTAACCACGCCGCGTTAAAAGGGCTATTTAAAATTTTTAATGAAATAATACCCAACATTCTTCCAAAAGACCAAAGAACGTTGTTGAATACAGTTGTTCGAGAAGTCAATTTGGTTAAAATGCATAATGGTGTTTTACTGGCATTATGGATTAAAATGTAATTTGCAGTGTTAGAAAATAATAAAACAGAGTTGAAAGTAATTAATCTTAATATAAACGTTGATGGATTTCCAATATATAAAAGTTCCAGAAGCGAATTTTGGCCAATACTGTGTAATATTCATGAAATGTTGCATATAAAACCTATTGTCATTGGTATTTATAGTGGTCCAGGTAAACCCGTCGATATTAAGGCGTATCTTCAAGCCTTTGTGGATGAAACGAAACGGTCTAAATAACAAAACTAAGGTTATGTTTTTATTTTCAAAACATCACAAACGTATTAAGTACGTATACGACATGTACAGGAGCCTTTTACAGTGCTTCTTAAAAGTCCCCTCCCCTCTTTTCTTTTGAACGGTGATACCTAGACTGATGAAATTTGGAGGGTGGAAATGAACTATTGTAAGCTTCTCTACTAGTGGTAACAGGTGACGTAATATGTGACGTCACTATCGGTGACGTAATATGTGACGTCACCAGACAACTGAAACCAATAATATTAAAAAAAACATCGTAAATCAAAAAAAAATAGTATGACTGAATAGGTATTCTAAATACCTTTCAAACGAGATGTCACTTGCCTTAAGGTCCCATTTAATATTATTGGTTTCAGTTGCCTGGTGACGTCACCGATGCCTATTACGTCTCCTATTACCACTAGTAGACAAGCTTACAATAGTTCATTTTTACTCTCCAAATTTCATCAGTCTAAAGCCTTGGTTTCTTTGAACACTCCGTCGCGGTGAGCGGACAGTCCGTCGACCGCTGAGGACAGCAATTTTCGCCCGAGGTGGTTTGTTAAAAAATATAGAAAATGATACTTTCTCTATGTCTGTACGTGCTGTTTATGTATTATGAATGTAAACGAAAGGTACTAAAATGGTTGCAAATAAATTGTTTGCGTTATTATTGTTGGAAGAGGAAGAACAAGAGGAACTGGCAATTGCAACCGTCAAAGTTTCCAATAAGCCAGTGAATGAGTTGTTTTTCTGTCGCGATGCAGAAGGTGCCTTTAATATCACTGTGCAGCGGAGGCTTTTTGGAAATGAAACCAAATTTAGGGAGTATTTTAGACTTTCTACAGATCTTTTTGAATTCGTGTTGAGTTTTATAAAGGACATAATTTCCAAGAAACCTAAAAATAAAGTCATCATGTCATCTGTATGTGTGAATTTGTCACTCATTGTTTAAAAATTAATAACTATATAGTCTCCGCACACGCCGACGATTCCGCTGATATCAAACTCAACAGATATCAACCGACTCTTCGCGACAAATCAGCGGCATGACGCCGTCCTTGTTCAGTTAAGCAGATTCAAGAAAACCATTCCCATTTAAATACTCTGGTTGGATAAAATCGTCAAAACGCGACGGTTGACGGACTGTCCGCTCACCGCGACGAAGTGTTCAAAGAAACCAAGGCTTAAGTATCACCGTTCAAAAAAAAAGAGGGGGGAGGGGACTTTTGAGAAGCACTGTATGATAATTTTATATTAATATGCCTTTGTATAAAATAAAAGTATTTTATTAGTGATTTATAATAATCGCATGAAGTGTAATAATGTTACTGTCACACTCCCTTTTGCTAATATTGGCAACTAGAGAAATTTTTGTCAAAGATTACCAAATCCGGGGTTGCCGATACGAAAAACTTTACACTAAAATGACTGAAAAAATTATAAAACCTATTATGTGGTATTACTTTTATTCGCTCCGTGCGAAGTCATGGAAAGGGAAGCAAAAGCGATACTAGCGCTAGCTGCGGATAATTCGTGCATTTTAGGGCGATATTTTGTAATTTTGGCATATCAAATACACGTATACATTTAACTTTTTTTCAAAAAACTAAGTAAAAACAATACAATAAGCTGTGTTTAAAATTGTACAAATACTAGAAAAAAAAAACAGTGAAACTTATACAAAAAATTTCAGTAGCAAAGTAGAAATTAAATCAAAGAAATAAATGGATAGGTGTACAATAAGAAGAAAAATTACCTTTATTTTTGTAATAATAACAGTAATGCTGGAAATAGTAGACATCAGAAACTTAAAAGGTTTTAAATAAATAATAAATTATCATTTTACGATGTTCTTTAATATCCCTTTATTCTTAAATGTTCATTCAGCAAAGACTAAATTTCACGATTTCTGCCTTTGATTATTATAATGTGGCTGAAATGCAATTTTGTGACTCACTGATGGGAAACCAGTTTTAATCATTCATTCTATGTTTTCGTTCGAACAACAATGAAAATATAAATAACGATCTTTTTTTATACATTTTAACTTCACGCTACTAGTATTAAATGTTTTTTTTTAATTTTGACCTCTCAGATTTTGACAGAATAGTCTAACTCTTTAATGACAACTTATTAAACTTCTCATACATTTTCCAGTAAATACTGTTGCCTGCCTATATTTTATTATTGATTTTTATTGATTATACATAATTTTCTTTAATTTAAGCGATAAAAATATATAATAATAATAAATTATTGTTTTACTTGTTTTAAAATCCATATACTTTTATTAAAACTAACATATATACTTCTTAATTACGAATTCTAATAAAAATTGCATTTGTCAGTATACGCAGAAATAGTTCATTAGTACCAAAACGAATTGGCGCTGCTGTCGCGCACGGAGCGAATAGGATACATACCCAGGTATATCTAGTAGTTCATGGGTGGCGTTGTCATTGTCATAAAAATATTTTGTCAATATACAAAAAAAATAATCATAAAAATACCAATCTGTGTTGACGTTTATATTAAATATTTGTATAAAAATCGTATTATCTAGCAAGGCCATCAGTGTCTTCAAACAAACCTGCGTGTTTTACGTATGTCAACTTTAATTTTATTATTTGACACTTTCAATCTATTCTAACAATACAAATGAACAAGTTTTGAGATTTTTCTATGGATAGGATAGATAAAATATTTTAATTAATACCATTAAACCCATAAATCAATTTGGAACCAATTCATGTTGTTTTGTCAGGAAAAAAGTACGACTTCGGTGCAAAAGACATATCTGTAGAGTAAATTTCTATAATATTAAAATACTGGGCATACAACATGCGTAGAAAAGATGGTGAAGATTCTGTAGTTTAAGCACATATTTTATAAATTAATACAGAAATACAATGTTTCACTTATTTTTTTGTAAAATTGGACTAAAAATGGCGGTTTAGATGTACTCTAGAACCGACACAAATATTTTTGTTTAAATTTCTATTCCATTCCGATTTTTCAATTTAAAAATGTTTATGAATTATAATAAAATATAGGTATTTGAATAAAAAAGACAAACAGGATCCAGGTCTAACTATATTGGTCGGACTGAGACAGGACTCCTACTCCCAGGCGCGATCCCAATACTGCACGACGGGGAGACGATAAACTGTATACTTAAAAATATATCTTTTTTAATTTTGATTTGTAATTAAAAAAATTGTAAACCCTAATCAAAATGTGATTTGGATTGATTCTTATAAACCAAGGCTTATGAAGATCCTCTACATGGTTTAGTCTGAAAACATATATACCTGAAAATTCAACGTCCTAATATATCATCTTCCGGTCCGTGGGGCCTCAGTCTGGATAAGGTGAGAACCACCAATTTAGCGTCTCTCGAATTTGTTTTGAGATTCTATTATGTACCGAGTGGGAAACTAAAAATGGACGCCGGCCATATCTCAGAAACAGATCAGTGTATTATATATTCGGCGAAAAATTTTTTGCAATGAAAATGGCCATGAAAAACTGCAGGAAAATGTTTTCTAGTTCTTTAAATGGCCGCTAGAGGTGCAACGAACTCTCGAAAATATAATCATGTGATTATCTCGAGAAATACAATTGAAACCTTGATGAGATCATACAAAAAATATTTAGAGACTTTTTGCCCTTACAAATAAATGTTATGTAACTTTTTTGTTTCTTAACCGATTTCAATGATTTTGACGTCATTTTAAATAGTTTTTCCTGTTTCGTAAGATGCCTAAAATGAATAACAATAATAAATAATTTTATCGCCTCTAGAGTGCTCTTTGTCAAAAAGTTGACAATGTTCCCATTTTTCTCGAAATTTTAAATGCAATGAAGCTTTCTTTTTTAATTTACATGAAAAGAGGATAAAAAATCAGGAATCTAGTTAAAATCGCAAATATAAATCTTAAACATATTATAATATAAATAATGAAGATTAAGATTTAGACCTCGATTTAGATTAATAATGATAAAATTATTTTAATTTATTAGAAATATGGCAACACTGGAAATGCGAAAGTATCTAAGGATATATAAATTACGTCATTTCCAGTTATAAAACGAATTTGTCTTAAAAATAAGCATTATATAACAATTTATAAATATAATTGCTTTATTAGAAACAACCACAGGATAGTTTAGTTACATAATTGTTTCCAAAACAACAAAACTGATTTATTGATTGACTCCATCTTGGATACATTTATCAAACATGTTTTTATATGTAAACTATTTTAAAATTATTAATAAATTTTTACACTAGTTTGTTCAGATATCGAATATAAGCAAATACTTTGTACAATAGACACAACATTATCAATATTTACTAATTTAGGTAAATTTTTGAAACATTAATTAAATTATTAAAGTAATTTTTTTAATAACAACTAATTAAATTCAGGGTCCGTGAAAATTTTCCCATAATTAGGCATATATGTCAGTAAAATTTGTGTGACAGAAGAAATTACTGGAGAAACTGTGAAAATAATATGCATATATTTTATTACATGAAAACTATGGCCATTATATATTTGTTTATTCTAAGCATCTTAAAAATCTGTTTTGTCTTTGTCACCACAATTTAATATTAATTTACATAACTGTAAAACTATATTGTGTTGCATAAAATCTAAATGTTGCGAATAAATGAATTCTGTGTATTATAAAATAATTATAAGACTGTTAAACAACAATTTTATAAGTCCTTTCCAAATATTTTAATATGGTCGTAAGCCATATCTATAAAACAAATATATAATATCCATAAAACTATTATATAATAGTAGTTTCAGAAACAAACTTATTTTATAGGTATGTTGATAGTTCCAATAATATAACTTTAAAAAAATTGTTTTATAAAAATTTTATAACATACTCTAGAATGTTTTATGCTTACTTTTACACCCCATAATAAAACTGTTAAGAATCACATTTATTTTATAAACCTGCGCTTTTCCGTGTTATAAGTGCCATATAAGCGTCTATAAATATACAATTTTTATAACAAATTGTTATATAGTTGTTTATATAACTCTTTTGAGCATTGTTTTGCTGCTTAGGTAGCTATATTGTCGAAGGTTCTCATAATTCTAAATAATAACCATAATTTTAAATTTAAAAAATAGTACACTCATTTAAATTAGTAAAGTAAATCTTTTTACTTACATACAAACACCTCCTATGAATGGAAGAGAATTTACTCCTTTTGTCGATTTCTTTTCATATATAGCTTTACACACTAACATACCAGCAAAAAACTGGCATATTGTTACAATACTAGCAATTTGACCTATAACATCTTTGTGAGGCTGAAGTCTTTCAGACATGGCTTCCATTTTTCTAGATTATTTTGAGTTACTTTACTTAAAAACAATAAAGTCAATTAGCCTGAAAAACAATATTCAATTAAGCCCAATTTCAGTTTAGTTACTATATTTTTGTGAAAATGACAAAAAAACTTATGTGAATGAGATTTTGACGGTAAGCATATTGAATAAAAGAATTTTGAAGTTGTCACCCACTTATCATAATCATTAATATTTTACTACTTATTTACCACCACCACATAAAAAAGATTAGACACTGCGTCAAAAATAAGTGATAAGAAAAATTATTTTATTTCAGTAATTAATGAACAAATATTTTAGGGTTCATCCATATATTTTTTATTTAAATTCATTATAGAATAAATGATAAAGATTTGAATTTTAAGTTTTGTTCTCATGGGTGTCCTATTGACCAGATTTATCACTAGAACATTAAGTAACTTACTTATAGTATTTTAACAAAAAATAAGATAGGGAATTAGGTTTCATGTATTCATTTAATTTATATTATAATAAAATATAAACTGAATACTAACCTAACTTTTAAGTTCATTTCATTTCCTGTCATTTTTCTTCCAACAAAAACAAAACCTCGGAACAACAAAACTTACGTTGACATTGACATATGGGCGGTTCCATGATTTTTCAACGTTGCCGTTGTTGATGTTGTATTCGCTCCGTGCGCGACAGCAGCGCCAATTCGTTTTGGTACTAATGGACTATTTGATTTTCTTTTACTATACGGAGAATGGTCGCACTGCGCAGCTTTCTGAGTGCCTTTTAAAAGGAGATTTTGAACCCTTATTACGTGTTGCCTATATCTTGGCGCAATATTTTTAATAGGTGCGTTTTAATCATCCGCTTCTGCTTCGGAATTTTCGGTTTTCTTGTTTTAATCTGACAGGTTAGAACGACTGAACCGACAATTCCGGAAGCAGCAGCGGATGATTAAAACGCACCTGATATTTTGCTTGCTGCTGTCAGTGTCAGTGAATATTATTTTTGGAGTCACAGTTTATTGCTAAAGAATTAGTTAGCTCACTCGGACCAGTTGAAAGTTCCAAAATAACATCCACTCCACGGATACAAATTCAGGATACGCAGAAGACTGCTGTTTTATTATAGGCGATTGTCATATATTGTATTATCTGAGTTGCGTAGTGTATAAACTGGAACATTGAGATAAAAAGTGCCGACGCAGAGTGAGCGATCTGATTCTTTAGCTATAAACTGTGTCATAGGGTTTAAAATGGCCGCGCCCTATGTTGGGCGTGTCGGACCTTTCTCTTGCCCCGTATAGTAATCAAAGTATGTGGTGTATACTGACAAATACAATTTTTAATAGAATTCGTAATTAAAAAGTATATATGTTAGTTTTAATAAAAGTATATGGATTTGTAAAACAAGTAAAACATTAATTTATTATTACTATAATATATATTTTTATCGCTTAAATTAAAGAAAATTATGTATAATCAATAAAAATCAATAATAAAATATAAACAGGCAACAGTATTTACTGGAAAATGTATGAGAATTTGCCTAAGTCTAATAGGTTATCATTGAAGAATTAGATTATTCTGTCAAAATAAAAAAATACCACTTAAGAATAGCGTGAAGTTAAAATGTATAAAAAAAGAATCGTTATTTATATTTTCATTTTTGTTCGAAAGAAAACATAGAATGAATGATTAAAACTGGTTTCTCATCAGTAAGTCACAAAATTGCATTCCAGCCACATATAATAATCAAAGGCAGAAATCGTGAAATCTAGTCCTTGCTAAATGAACACTTAAAAATAAAGGGAACACCGTTAAATGATAATTTATTGTTTATTTAAAACCTTTCAAGTTTCTGATGTCTACTATTTCCAGCATTACTGTTATTGTTACAAAAATAAAGGTAATTTTTCTTCTTATTGTACACCTATCCATTTATTTCTTTGATTTAATTTTCACTTTGCTACTGAAATTTTTTATATAGGTTTCACTGTTTTTTTTGCTAGTATTTGTACAATTTTCAACACAGTAACTCCGGTTGCTTATAGTATTGTTTTTACCTACTTTTTTAAAAAATAGTAAAATGTATACGTGTATTTGATATGCCAAAATTACAAAATATCGCCCTAAAATGCACGAATTATCCGCAGCTAGCGCTAGTATCGCGTTTGCTTCCCTTTCCATGACTTCGCGCGGAGCGAATATGTTATTACGTTCCCTTTAAACATCGCAGAAAGGCTTGGCAAAATTGTTCTAGCTGGGCGGGTCAATAATTAGGCATTCCAAACACCAACCTTCATATTAAACTGAATGGCTATGGACCAATTCCACCGTTGTGTTAAACGAAGTTTAAAATTACATTTTTACATTTTTCAGTAAAAAAAATATATCAGTATGGGTGTATGTTGGGTTGACTAAGTAGAAGTGATAGAAACGATAATTAAAAGTATCTATGTGTAACAAGTTAGGTGTATGGTGGGTTGCCTAGGTTGTATGGCGGCATGTAGCTCCGTGAGGTTGGGCTATGCAAATGGTATGTAGTTAGTAATTCTTGTACCATCTACTGTCGAGTAAGTTTGACAGATGTTGGCAACACTGGATTGACTGATAACGGATGTTAGGCTAGGTTGGCAACACTGTTAATAGATGACATGATTGTTGATTGCTGACCAATGAACTGGAGTGGGGTAGAATGCTTGTCAATAGGCTTGAGATGCAACTCTATGGGCAAAGACAGGTTATTTTTCATCTCACTCGAAAGTATTTATAACAACTATTTTCTATTTCACTTTGTTATTGTCTGATCCACCAGCTTGTGGATTGAACAATAACAATGTGAAACAGAAAATGGTTATTATAAATACTCCCGAGTGAGATGATAAATAAAAATGGCTGCGCCCATAGAGTCGCATCTTGTTTTATGATACAATATGCACATTGGCTTTCTACCCCACTCCAGTTCATTGTTGCTGACGAGCGAGAACTGGGGGTCGATTCTCGACTTTTATTCCCATGGGAAAATAAAATTTTCCCATGGGAATTCAGTTTTCGTATTCTCGGCATAAGCGGTGGAATATTTTCCAATGAGAAGTATGGGAAAATATTCCCCTGCTTGCGAGCATTGGAAATTGTGTTTTCCAATGGGAATTGTACTAGAGTTTGCGCATTAAAGTCGAAAATTTGACGAAAGACCACGCGAAAGACTAAGACATAACCAAAGATTATTGGATATCTTGGATTTTTGGTGAAATTGTAGTTAAAACATGTTTTTTGTGTATTTATAAATTGATATTATTTTATTTATGTGGGTATATTATTTTTACCTCTCTTTCACTAAGAAACTGATTTTCTTAAATTAGTTAGAAATTGTGGGAGCTGCTAAGGGACTGGCAAATAGATAACACAAATTGAGAAATTTGTAGTAAATTTAATAAGACCTTTTCGAAAATATTATCATTTCCGTTAACGAAAGAATTTCTTATATATATAGTTTCTCGAAACTTTCGTTGCTCTTCTATACAAAGGCTACTTTTTCTTTTTTCAATATGTGAAAAGAAAAACTAAAAATAACTCGATAAGTTTTAATTATACATAATCGAATATTTTCACTTGTCCTCGGTCAAGCTAGCGATTGCTCGGCACGGCATCTGCTTCAGCGCAGAGGCTCGGCAGGTAATCGGTTACCCAAAAACCACAACAAATACAAATAATACCAACAGTAAATTTTAAAATATCTTTAATGTTATTGGTTATTTCGAAATATTCGTGAACTTAATATCAGACATACGTGAAACTATTATTTCCATGGGAATGTCTATTCCGACAAGTTCGAGAATTGCATAACCTATTACCATGGGAATATAAGTAGTGGAATCTTTTCCCATGGGAAAATTTTCCAATGAACTCGAGAATCGAGCCCCTGGCGTGTGACCTTGAAATAGACAAAAAGTGGCAGAATGGACCTTGGCGATTTCCCCTGTTAATTTACATAAGAAGTGTGCTTGAACTGTTGCTGCTCCTTTACTACAATGTCATTTTAATCTCCGTTTAACACAACGGTGGAATCTGCCCTAAATGACATAAGCCCTACTCCTAATTTCCAAGTCGAAATGGATGAAAAAAACGGTTCAATTTTGACGTCAAACTGTCAATTTCAAGCATCTACGTCACATTTTCCACGGGCGTACTACGATAAGTTATATTATTTATTATTAGTAACGTGGTATTTTAATTATTATTATTATTATTATTATTATTGGAACATTTGATTTAGCTGCGTAATAATTAAAAATCATGTTTAAGGACCGATTCCACAGTTGTGATAAACGAAGTTTAAAATGACATTTTTACATTAACAATGTCATTTTAATCTCCGTTTAACACAACGGTGAAATCGACCCTAAGTGATTTTCTTAAAGTAAAAGGTGTTGTAGTTGAATGTAATAAGTGTTAAATTTAATTCTGATGTTCCCTTTTAGTGCATTTCGATACGTACTTGTGGGTGCCAGCGTGTCAAATATCATCTCATGTGGCTTGTTTTTGTTAATCGGCTTTGTTTTTCCAGTTTATATAATATAGTTCAGTGATTCCAACGACTCGGCAAAATTCTGAGAAGTGAGAACTGATAGTTTAGATATGGCAACCCTGCCGACCTGTTGTCATTAACAGGGTCAATGATGCATATATAGTTATATATATTGCTCAAAATGAGTTTGGGAGTAGCCATAATGCCGTGCTCATTAATCGGAATCGGTTTAGCAAAAATGTGTTTACAAACCAATGTTTAGCCGTTAAATATAGCAAAAAAATATTTACCTACATTTTTACTTCAAGGCATAACTTTATGTTTATTTTGAAAAACATGGATGATCAATTTATATGACTGACTATATCATTGACCTATCAAATCACCAGGCCTACAGAGTTGCCACACTCAACTATATATTACGGTTATATAAAAATGTGTATCATCGTGTCACTCGAATTATAGCTAAACAACAGTTTATTTGTAATTATTTATTAATTTTTTACACAAAATTTTACTTATTTTATATATACAAAATACTATTTCAAACTTCTGAAATCTAAAATCGAGTAACCTTATCATTATGTATTGGAGTATCGCATCGGAAATCGAAGTCTTCATCATCAGGAACTGCCGAACAAGAATACAAATCTGGCCGTGGCATAGCTTGCGATGAAGAAACAGTAACTCCGGCTCTAGCTACATTAACTGCATTTATAGCTGCGACATTAAGGCAGTCATATATCGGCTAGAAAAACAAAAAAAAAATAGTTTTTTAAAGAAATAGTGTAGTGGATTGTGGTTAAATTTCGCTTCACGGTATCCTTATAGTGTTCAAATAGTCGTTATGTCAAAACGAATTTGGTAACATACATTTATTTATCAACAGAACAAGATACCATGCATAGATTACGTAATGTGAAATACCATGGTAACAATGTCAGATGTCATTGTAATAATAAATATAAACCTTAGAATATATATAGTCAGGAAGGAGGAATCCTAAACGACCTTGGAATCGCGATGCTATCTAATTTTGACAGTGAGTTAGACGAATATGGCGACAAGTGTTTCCGGTCTACCAGTAACGTACTGTCATAAAGGGGCATAGAAAAGAAAATAATAAATTCTCATTTGCATATTATTTAAATTTATCGATTTCTCTCATTTTAACGAATTGCTATTTTCTTATTATGTGAATAAATTTTACTTTAAAATTGCATGTTGGGTGGGATAAATATAGGAAAATATTTTTGGGATAATTTATAGAGGAATTTCATTTGCAAAATCAAAGCAATAATGTATTAAAAAAATATTGACTTTTTTACGTCTTTATTATGACAATGTCTTGATTAATCTACATTTTACAAATTATTAAGGTTTGAAAAAAAATATGTTTTGTAGATATGCATTAAAAAAAGTTAAATATCCTATACTTATATTTAGGTCAAACACCGCTGTGATATTTCTTTCTTAGATGTTTTTGTTGGAGTACATATAAAACTTCCTAATATCGAAGAGACTTTCTGATCATTTTATTTACATATTATTAGTAATATTTTTTGCAGGACAATTTTGCATAAGCAGGTAAAACACCTTTCCAAGAAAGGATCCTATAACGTAATAATTATTCTATGAGTGCAAAATAGATTATTTTTAAATGTACATTCAACGCATTATTTGTATGCTTAGTCCAGTTATGATGAGAGTCAATTTGTACTCTAAGGTATTTGATATCATTTGTAATACTTATATGAAACTACTGAACGTTACATTTTATTGTTTCTATATTAAGAGGCCAACTGTATAATGGAACAACATAAGTTTTATCAAGGTTTGTAAATTTTTATAATTAAACCATTCGAAAATCCTAGAAAATAAATTTTTTCTCGTATTCAGTTGACGCGTTAAAAAGGGCTCTTATTAAAATAAGAGAAAATAACTTAAGTTGAGCTTAAGGAAAGCGAGCCGTGCTTTTGGAGTACCCCAAACCACAATCCAAATGTAACGGGAAAAACAGGACAAGAGAAGCAGAGCTGAAAATTGCAAATTGTACCTAAAGAAGATAGGACTGAAGAAAATATGAATTAAATAATAGATCAAGAAAGTATATCTAACGATTATAAAACTAATGAAAATAGGGGTAAACTAGATCAAGAGAGTGTACCTGGAGAAGATAAGACTGAAAAAATAGGGATAAAATAATAGATCTAGAAAGTGTACCTAAAGAATATAAGAATAATGAAAATAGGGATAAACTAGATCAAGAAAGTGTACCTAAAGAAGATAAGACTGAAGAAAATAGAGGTAATAGACCAAGAAAGTGTACCTCTTCAAACTCACTGTTCAGAAAAGATCGCATCAGAATATATTATAGATCCTTCTGAAAATGATTTGCGTTTTCCAGAAGCTATTTAAAAAAATCGCAAAATAAGGCGCCAAAGGAAAAGTTACCTAACGCGATATCCTCCCAAGCTTGGCGAGATTACTACACAAATAAGGAAAGGCAAAAATAGAGAAACTTCAACAAATAAAATTTAGAAAGGAGCAGAGAGCAGCAAATAAGCAAAAAGAAGGTAGCTAGAAGTGGATAAAAAGGTCTAAAAACATCAACGAAAATTCTTTGAAAAATGCTAATGAAAATCCCACTGAAACTCTTACTACTGAAACAGAACATTTAAAAGATACCTTATACGAGGAAGATCTTATCAGTGACGCAGAAGAAGATCTTGACTATTGCTACTGCTGGTACCACTTAAAATGCGCGTTTTCAGAGTTAAGATGTGAAGTCACTATGATAAAGGACTATAAGTGTGATTTGTGCACATAAAAATATATTTTTATTGGTTCATATTTTGAAGTTTTTTTTTTTGTTTAGTCAAAGAAGTTTTTGTGTAATTTGTATTTTATATTTTGGGGATAAATAAATATTGCCTTTTGACTTTTTTTACGTTTGAATCTTTTTTACTGATCAATTTACCAATCACCTCCCAATTTTCTGAATCTTCTTCCAAAAATATGGGTGGCCGCATAATCGGGTTTGTTCGGCCTACCGCATACCGGTCGAAAAGCGGATCATCAGCGGTCGGTAATTGGCGCAAGGTTGCCGAAAACAGGAATTTTTATAAATTTAAGTATATTTAAAAACTACAACCCATTTATGATCATTATTGTTAACCAGTTTATATAATCCAGCCTATTTGGTAATAATATCAAAATAATAAAAATCTTACTAATTCTCTATCGGACATAGAAGTAAAGTCAGAAAATATCTTAAGTGGCCGACAACCGGCGCAGTCACCCTATATGACAAAAATAACAACTTCCAATCGAAGAATTTTCTTCTGCAATCATAATTAACAGTATACCTTAAAAAATACCCACTCATATTCTCCGACTATGTCCAAAATCTCCCACACACCCAGAGAGACATACCTACATACACATCACCGCGAGAATGGCTAAAACGTATTCAGGAGACCCCAAAACGTAAAAAGATCCGTGATCCGTCCAAAACTTGATGTCAAAAAAATCATAATTCCTTCCTATACTTTCCTTACTGTTTACTGGAAAGTAAAAATATAATTTAATTATTATTATTTGATTTATAACTGCATTATTTTTTAATTTGTACAGATTACTATTTAATTTTTAGCATTAAAGAGAAAGTGCAGAGGCATTCTATTTATAAGCACTTTCCTGCATTTGATTTTTACCATGGAATATGATTTTTAAGGTTATTAACCTTGATCGACCAAATGGATTAGTGACCTCCATTTTTTATTCATATAGGAAAGTGCGAAAGTACGAAAGACCATAAAGATGAAATAGGTGTAATTTACAAATTAACGTTTTAATTTGCAAACGAAAAATTAACTTTTTTATGAATTTTGATTCCAATAATTAAATGTTAAATTTCTCTTATTTAATTTCCAATAGCTACCTACATTTCAGGAATTTAGGTATCATACCCTAAAGCAGCTTCTTCATTTCCTCATACAATTTGTTAGAAAGATCTACCTATTTTCTCAAGTAAAATTTGTTACGTTTATTTTTATAGAAGCAAAAATATTTAATTTGATCGAATTAAAAGCTTATAGGTATATTATTAAATGTTTTTCCACATTTAGATTTATTAAACAAATAATTGTAACTGTAAACCGCATAAACAAATAATTAATATGTCTGGTTTTATCGGATCCATTTGAACAAAAGGTTGATGTGCGCCTAATCTGGATACTCTATTCTGAAAATATAGGTAAACAAATTATTATACTGGGTGTTTCATTAAGAACCAAAATAAGTTAACGGTGAATGGAAATTACCCAGGTGGTTCTAAATATACCATATTTTAATTAACAGGTATTGAATATTTTTTTGAAATCTGGTAGGTAGGGGAAACCCGGTAGATTTTGGACACGGAGAGAGTTTATATTTTCCCGTAACATATGTTAGACCTGAGTTTTAGTTCGTTCCCTTTTTCCCGTAACCGTTACATTATGGATACCAGTCGGCTTTATAAGACTGAAAAGTGAAGAAAAAAAATTATATTTTTTTTTCGGTAACTCTGTTGTAAGTTTGCATTTTAATATTGAAAGGCATATTTTGACAACGAACGTTTTGTTTGAACTTCTGTTTTGTGAGGTGCTTCTTAGATGTTTATAATATGAGGACATATGAATAAAAAACCGACCAAATATATCATAAACCTTTGTTTATTTTATTAAATTGTTTGAAGATATACTGAGTAGACAATGGACAGGAATATCCAAACCCTCCTACATGGAAATTAATTTTTGTTAAAATGTTCCTTATATGGCCAGCGTCCTTTCTTATTTGGACACCCGGTACTTCAATAATGACTTAACAAAGTTTATAGTATAGAGAAGAAAGGAGTGCAGTAATTTAATTTGCAAAACGTAGTACAGGTACAATAGGTAGGCATTTTATTTATACCTCATCCTTTAATGCTTATTTGTAGTTAAAACGTTTTCGTTCAGATTTAATCATGTTACTATGGTTTTTACTGTAATGAACCTTTTCTTTTGATAGATAAATAAGAATTTATTTATTCATAGCCGTATCGTATGTATTTTAATTGTTCAGAATTTTATATTAGTATATATTGGGACGAGGAGCCAACCCTGTCTAGCAAGCGACCTCGAAGCCTGCCACCCGACTCATGGTCGAAACACTGGAATCTTCTAAGTATGGCGCTGACGTATAGAGACAATCGCATCGCTTCGAGAAGCTACCGGATGGACAATTTTACGGCGTATGAGTCATAGAGAGGCAGTTTTCGATATTTCTGGAAAGCCCAGACGATTCTGGTACAGAGTTGGCTTTTAATATAAATATCGCGAGTTTGAAGACAGAAAAGAAGATTGAGTTTAAGTGTTGGACAGAAAAGATAAATTGTAATAAATAAATTAGAATTGTGAGTTATAATTAAAGTATTATATAAATTAATTAGTAAATAAATTGTAAATATGTTTTAAATAAATAAACTATAAATAAATTAAACTATCGTCACATATTGGTGTTAGAAGTGGAACTGTAAATAAAAATGAACAATAATGGCTAAAAAACTGTGTGATTTAAAAGTGGCTGAATTACGTCGAGAATTAGAAGATCGTGATCTAGAGACGAGAGGAAAAAAGCAAAGCTGGCAGAGCGGCTTTAAGAAGCACTAGAAAGTGAAGGTTTGGATCCGGAAACGTATCTATTTCCTGATAATGCGTCTTCTATAATTTCTTCTTTGGAAAAGTAAAATATCTTCCATGGAAACCAAAGTTTCGTCTGATATATCTTCTACGAAAACCGATATTTCTTCTGACATTTCTTTATTAGAAAATAAAGTTTCTTTAGATGTTTCCTCCATAAAAATGATATTTCTTCCTTAGAAAAAAATATGTATTCTGATATGTCTTCCGCGAAAAAAGAAATCTCTTCTTTAGAAAATAAAGTTTCTTCTGATATCTCTTCTTTAAAAGATGAAATTTCTTCTGATATGTCTTCATTCAAAAAAGAAATCTCTGCTGATGTGAAAAACAAGATGTCTTCTGTTGAGGAGAAAATAAAACAGATGGAAAAGAAAATAAAAGAACTGGAACATACAGAACCAGCCAAGGACTGTAAAATAAAGTGTCATGAGGTGGAATCAAAGTTGAAATTGGAAGGAGCTGTAAACCCTGCTTGTGTTAAAGCCCCAACTTTCGACGGAAAGATGTCATGGACCTTAAACAGTTCGAAGCAGCTGCCAGAGCAAACGAATGGTCTGAATGAGAGAAGGCAGTAAATTTAACCATCGCCCTTCGAGTAGATGCTCTAGATGTTCTTCAGACAATATCCGTGGAAGAGACAGATGATTTTGAACAACTCAAAAAGAGACTAAACATGCAATATGGCCACGAACACTTGGAGAATTTATACTAGACACAGTTAAAGAAACGAGACGAGACTCTTCAAGAATATGAAGTAGATATTGCCAGGTTGGTACGGTTTGCTTACCCATCAGCTCCCGAAAACATGATGGAATGCTTGGCAGTCCAAACATTTGTTGATAGACTCCGTGACCACGAGATGCAGAAAACACTCCGCTTAGCCCTTCACAAAACATTGGTCGATATCTAGACGGTGCTATAGAGTATGATGCAGCTACGCAGGCTTCTGGAGGACACAGTAAAGTAAGGACTGTAAAAGAAGAAAACGTAGAAGATAAACTCGACCAACTAGTTAACATAATGAAGAGTTTTACTGACTAAAAGAAAACTATCAGGTGCTGGAATTGCGGTGAACTGAGACATGTACGCAGTTCGATCAAACACTCTACACGCCGCAGGAAAACTAGAGGGGGCAGCTTCGACCCGAAACCGTTCCAAAGACCCTCTCGTACTGATAGACTCTTTGAAATGTCGCGATGATAGTATATAGGTAGACGACGAAGTAAATGGTGAAAAGTATATATTGTTGGTGGCTTGGTGGATACTGGAGCAACTAGGACCATTATATGACCAACAACCATAAATAACCGTAAGGGTACGGACAAACCGAAAATACATGGATGTGCGCGGTGGATATCGCGGTCGCGGTCGAGGTTTACATCGAAGACAGGCAGAACATACCGAAGATGCCTTCCTTTCAGTGTTGTTTGCGGTTTCTGAGTTGACTGACACTATTTCAGGGAAGTTTCCTTTTTTAAATAATAGTAGTGACGACAGTGATAGTATTGGAACTTGTGTATTAGTAACTTCCATAATTTGTCAGACAACAACTTCTGATCATTTCAACGACATGTTCTTTATAGGGAAAAATTTGATATTCGTTCATTATTTTTTGATTTTTTTTTAAGAAATGAATCATGAATAAAATGCGAGAGATACCGGTGATAATCCCTATAAAAGAAAATAAAAACTTGCGTGAAATGACATTCCGGTGACAATCTCTGGCGAGACGCCACCTTTTTGGGCTTTCGCCGGCGGATCGCCAGCGAAACGCCGAAATGAATCTCTGGCGAGTCGCTGGCGATCGACAATGCATACGGCTGTGAGTCTGTACATCGCAGACCTGGCAGTCCGAACAGTTCGTCCCGCGTTCATAGATGGAGATACCAATGATCGCTTGCTACTTACGTAACTTTGGAACGTCACATTTGGTTCATTAATATGATTTTATTTTATGGGCTTTTATAATAGCATCTACAAAAAGTAAAAAGACTTTCTTGGATATAACAGGAATGTCACATCTGGTTTGTTAAAAAGACATAATTTTTGGGAACTTCCAATAACGTTGAATAACGTAACAAGGTAGCGCTGTAATATCACCGCAACGTCTACATTGTTTCATCACAAAAGTAAACGTCCCTACTTTAGGCCTAGATGGTTATGAGTCCGTCCTACAGATGAAAACAAGAGTAAAAATGAGAATTACAATGTAACAATGTGATGTATAGTTCTTATTAATTTAACGTTTTTATGCATAGATATTTGCAAGATATTGCGGAAAATCCAAATCCAGTAACAGAAAATCAGTCTGAACCCTTCCAAATAAATAATATGAAAAATCCCTTGCCAGAGCAAGAAACTAACTTCAATGTAGATGTAAAACAACCTGGGCCTAGCAGAATCACAGGAAGTATGATCAAAAACTTTTCAAATGCTCTCTTATCTAACGAGCCTAAGTGTCCTCAGCCACCTGAAAAGCTTTTAGTAAATTACACTTTTAATCTTGAATCAGGATGTAGTTATATAGATCTCGAAATTTTAAGGCCGTTTCCAAAAGCAGCAGAAAGAAACTGCAACAAAAAGGTCGCAAAAAAAGGAAATCCGAAATTTTAACAGACACGCCTGTTTAAGACGCATTGGAAGAAGAGAAAAGGGCAAAAGAAAATAAAACGAATTCGATAAAAAAGCAGGTTTTTGGAAAACAGAAAAAGAACTCGAAGAAACAAGCAAATAAGAAAAATACTAAAACAGTTAAAGACGATTCAAGCAGTGACAAAGACACTTTTTGCTTAATTTGCGTTGAACCATGGTCAAATAGTTTGCCAAGAGAGAAATGTATTCAGTGCACCCAATGCAAATCATGGGCACAAAAAATGTGCAGACACAAGTTTGTTCTATGTATGTCAAAAGTGTGATTCGGATTGATCTAACTAGATTACATACTTATCCAAATTACTCTTAACGATTTTTGTGTTGTTAACTTTTTTCAGACTGATTCATACCGAAGACAATAAATCTATGAATAAGTTACCTTAGTTTTTGCTTTTACCAACCAATTCCTAGATATATACCAACCAACCCCTAGATGTGTACCAACCTTCCCCGGATTCGGGGTTGCTTGGTACACTTGCAGCCTTGGAAAAAAAAAGATTCTAAGTTTAAGTTATGTCTTAACATGGCCTGATTTAAGAATTGGGTAAACAAAACATAAATAATCAAAATACATAAGGTCTTTTTGCTCAGCTAACAAAAAAATTGGGGAAGTTTTGATGTGAAAATGTACCAACCAACCCCGGTCTCCCCTACTCATTAGCTATACATAATCTTTTTAGAGTCCTGATGGTGCCTTAATGGGCGATCACGCTTGTCTTTTAAATAAAGTGAAATTGTATTAAAAAAAAATGAAAGATTTTGTATTTAAAATGTGTATACTTTAAATACAAATCTTTCATTTTCTCCATTTTATAAAATGCCTAGTTTTTTTACCATTAAAAGCCGGATTATTTAATACGTCTGGGATCGATCGAAAAATAAATTAAAAAATATTTATTGTGTTATTTGGAAACTTGACCTTACTATATTTTTCTTAAAATGAAAGTAACTGGATTTTTAATATATTTCTGAACTTTAAATATTTTTATATAAAACTACGAATATATTATCAACATTGGTACATAATGCTTACCTGTGTGTTCGTTCTGTAAATATCCACAATACTATTGGCCGTATTCAAGGATGGAAGTGCACTTGTCATTTTATTTCTAGCTGCCGCTATGGTCATTAAATATGTCCTGGGTATAAAAATAGCTCCAAGGAACCCACCGGCCGTGCATACAAGTCCCAAGCAGAGCATAGGTTCATTCCAACTTCTATCCAAAAACATGAAAAGAGGCAGCCAAATGGACCACACGATACTAGTTTGTAATATTACAATACAAAAGTATTTTCCTTCGCGATAATTCCGCTCACATTTGTATATTAACGGACACAGACAGAGAAGCAGTAAAAGGAGCATTATATTATAACTCATTAGGTAAATAAATGAAGTACTGTAAAATACTTCCAAACATTTACCTACAATCTGCAAACTTAGAGCGGCTTGAATTCCAAAAATAAACAAACATAAAAAAGCCTGAACTGGACCCGCAATGTGTGACATGAAACCTATATCTTTTGACGCAGTTGCTAAAAGGATACACCTAGATAAGAGTAAAGAAAATACTAAAGAATAACCAAGAGTAGTACATAGAGATTTTACTAAACATAATAAATTGGCTGTAACTTTATTATCTTCTAAACTAAACGGTAAAATTGAGCAAAACAGAAACGTTACTGCTACTAGTAAAGAAATGGTTAATACAGGGTTTCCTTCCAGTACGTCTTTTTTGCAAATACTAATTAAAAGAAAAATTAAAATAGACATGCAAACTATTACTCCAAGTAACGATAACGATAAAAAGGCATACACCCAAGCTTCGGATCTAAATGACAAATTTGACACATTATCCATAAATAAATTGAAATGTTTTTCTCGATGATAATAATTACATTTGACGTTACTATCTTCACTTCTTTTAGAAATATTCAATCTATCTTGAAACGAATGGTTTATAAAAGTTAAATTATCGTAAAAAATATTGTAGGAAAATATTTTTGACAGTGGTTCCAAAAAATCATTTTTTGTTGCTAATATACTTATGTTTGTTGTATCTTTATCAGCGATGTAAATATCGTAAACAAAATGTTGTTTTAATGTTTCTACTTTGAGCGTTTCCAAAATGCTTGCTGGTGTCATAATAAATGGTTTATATATTTTAGTAAATTTTTCTCTTATGCAATTTACTATATATATGGTTTCATTGCAATTCTTTTCGACAAAATGTTCGATATTTTTTGTATACGTTAGAAATGCTCTTGCTGTGTAGATGAAAATGGGAGATGGGAGGATGTTTTCCGGTGTTTTATAAGTTCTTGTTGCTGGATTATGTGGTGGAATAATAACGAAGCTTTTGTAAGGCAAATCTGTAAATAAAAAACATTTAATGTTAGAATAAAATAAATATTCTTGAATACAAAATAGTATATTATACACCAAGGGATTGAAGTGGCACTTTTTATCCCGAAGCGAAAACTTTGAAGAACAATCACATTTCACGGGAGAAATAAAAGACACTTCCGTTCCGTGGTTTATACGCTATTTCATGCACTTTAAGAAAAGAAAAACTAAAAAAATTATGGAAATTATGAAAAACCGTTTAAACGGTATTCTAATAACAAATCAATGCCGATGTCAGTAGAAGGTTGTTATAGTACTGACGTATATTGTACTATTATTTAGGTTATATCCCAGCTAACACATAACGTTGCCAAGCCTTTCGGCGATGTTGTTTTAATGGAACGTAATAACATTGCTATACAACGTAAATGCAACGTTCAAGAGAAGTTATTGAGGGAAATCAAAACCTCGTAAAACTTCTATTTGTTACTCACCTATTTAACCTACCTATTATGATAACACAACTTAATAAAGTAAAAAAAAAGTATCCACGAGAAGTACTCTGAATATCACATTGTTTTCGAACGTAGTTATTCGTTTATGTCTCTTAAATGTCAAATTATTTAAAAATGTATGCTTCTGTTAATATGTATTGCAAATAATTTGTAGTGTATCTCAATCCAGGCTTTCCATAAATAAAGGTACAGCAAGACAGATAATATAATGTTCTTATACAAAGCAATTTTTATTAAATAAAAGAGAGGTAGGATATAATGCTGTTTTTTTTTGTAGATAACTTTAATTATACGATTTTGGATTACATATTTAACCAGCGAATTGTAAATAATAATTTGTAAACTCCTATTCATAAATTTCCTCAATTCATAAAATTTAAAAATGAATTTTCTTGTCTTGGGATTTTAGTGACGTAATGTGATCAACCCATTTCAAATTTTGATCAATTATGATACCGAGGTATTTTTTGTTGTTTTTCATTTTAATTATAAAGTTGTCATTTATGTGTATGTTGAAAGAAGGCCTTTGTAAATTACATTATTCTCTATAGATCTACTTTAACACAAAAATAGTTTTGTGGCTATAGGTTGCTATAACCTATCGTCGCAAAACTATTAATAATTTAAACATAGTAAGTAGTATTATTATAACATCAAGTAAGTGCGGGTAAAACGAGAGGTAATATCAATAAATTAAGGGAAATACTTAAAAAGGGCTAGTTTAAAAAGTATTATCACAAGAAAGTATATCCGTTCTGTTTATTTATCAAGTATTGTTTGAGGTTACTTTTGAATACATTTATTGTTGTTTTTTTTTTCAATTTCTGTAGGCAGTCTATTACATTTTTAAAACCTTTAATAAAAATTGTATATTGGAAACTTTTAGTGATGGCTTGCCGTACATGAAAATCAGATTGGCTGCTTGTATTACAGTTGTGATAACACGAATTATATTGAATTTTTTCTAATAGATCTGATGCGATGGTACTATGTCATTTTTATTTTATAAATAAATATCAGTCATGTACTGAACATAATTCTGAACTGAAAGCCAATTTATTTCTTTTAACAGTTGCAATACTCATCCTTCTGTCCTTTATTAATAGAATATAAATAGGCGAAGTAAGGAGCCCAAATATTTTACATAAGCAGGCTTAAGAAGTAAAGGGGCCAATTATTATTATTAGACAAATTGCTCGAACAAGTTTTTAAACCCTAATCAAAAGGCTATATAAAATGATTTTAAAAATCAAGGCTTGTGAAAATCATCACATGGTTAAAGTAATGCCAATGCTTCACAAACCAAAAAATTGAACGTGCTAATACTACTATCGGCTTTCGGTATTTCGTTCCAAGTTAAATCATTTCTCGTTTTTGTTACGCTACGAGTTTACCCTTGTGGGCCTCAGTCTCGATAAGGTGGGAACCACCATTTTAGCGTCTCTCGAATTTTCAAAGTGTTCGGTTTAATTCCTAAAATAGTTTACCTTAATAAATTGTATAATAATTATATTTACGTTTTGGTACAGATCCATCCAAAGGCACAAACAAGGCAAACAGTTCATCTTCAGAATTTTCAAAATCGTTACTTCTTATGAAATCCTCTATTTGTTCTACATTTCCGAAAAAAACGATATGCTTTGTATAGTTAAATCCCTTATAGCAAGAACTGAAAAAAAAAAATGTGTAGGTATTTAACATTGTATTTTTGTTTAGTTTAATAATAAATATACATATTCGAATAATGGTTTATGTAATATATAATTCATAGATCTCTACTTATTTTAGAAACTTTATAAAGAGTATTTTTTTTTGTTTTGAAAGCTTGTTTAGAGCTAATTTCGTAATGTAAAAGTACATTTTTCGCAATTTTTCTTAATATAAAATCGAGAAAATCGCATACAGGGGTCTATTCTGTAACAATTCCTTTATATTTAACGGCCTTTAAAAATATTTTCTTCTTTACTTCTGTCATTATTTAAACGGATCTTTAAAATACATTAGAGGACTATCTTAAAGAAATCTGTTTAAATAATGAAAGAAGTAAATTAACGAATACAAACATATTTTTAAAGGTCGCCAATATTTTTAAAGGCCGTTAAATATAAAGCAATTGTTACAGAATAGACCCCACAGGGCGTTAAATTTGAATACTGTTTTTTTGTTTTTTTCTGATGTCACTGTATATTTATGAATTGATATCAAAATTAGCACAAAGGCATATTTTTCGACAAGGAATAATATTTTATGTATTATTTCACATTTTGTTACAGGAGGCGCCACGTGAATGATTCCTGATGATGAAATTAAGTGGTAGCTTTTTTTACGAAACTTTTTAGTATTTTTGATTAGAAAATTTCACCCGTTTTCGAGAAAAACGCAATTGAACAACTCACAAAACATTTCATTTATGAAAAGTTTGATTTGTTGTGTCAAATAATTTGCTGTTAGATTATAGTCTATTATTATTATTACTATTATTAATATTATTTAACGCCCTGTATCTTATTCCACAGCAATATTTTATTAAGGTATATATTTGGCCCTATCCCCATATTTTAATACAAATAACCTGCCCTTAGCCTATGTTCCAAATAGTTATGAACCACCCTGTATATAAAACATCTTTGTCATCAGCTGAACAAAAAACAGATCAAAAGGTTTGGAGAATCAGAGTAGCTTCTTTATTAACGGGCCAAATCATAATAAATCATTAAATAATTCTAATACTTAAAAAAAATCTACTAATAAAAATATATACTTTTAAAATGAACAAAAAAAATATATTAATCGACGATTGGGACAGTCCCCACTATCGACACGACACCTATAGTGTTGTAAAATATCAAAATTACTTTTACTCTTTTACATTGACCAAGCAATAGAGGACGTTGCAATTTTAAAACTATAAAATTGTAATGACTGCTAAAAGTGCTGGGGGGGAGGGGTAAAATAAGGCTTATATTAAAATTTTAAAAAGAACACGGTTTTAATAAATTATCCGATCAGGATTTTGCCTAACTACCATGAATATACCCACGCTGACTTCCCGATTACTCACATATTACTCACAATTGCCCTTTACTCACAAAATTACTCACAGACTAGTAAATTACTCACAAATGTGAGGAATTACTCACAGATTGGCAACCCTGCATAAGTCGGTTGTTCTTTTAATTAATCCGTGCACGCCAAAAGCAAACCTTAAATTTGCGTATACGTTAGCGTGTCTATAGACGCCAGTTACCAATCTAGGCGCGCTACTGAGTTGATAGTTGCTAAGCGTCGCGAAGTAAACAAATCAAATTTTGATTTCCGCAAGTGTCGTCATCTATGACGCCTCTGTACTTTTCTCTACTAGAACGAACTCTATTTTATGTTAAAACTATTAATTTAAACACTTACTCATAAACGACACAATCCTCGATACAAATAAAATTTGATTTTGAAAGTTTGTAAAATTCGGCCACAATGTTTTCGTTCGGAGCAAAAATTGTTACATTTTTAATCCATCCTAAATTGTTTAGAAACCTAATCGAGGCTTTTATTAATAAACTATTTACATGTTTAATTGTAACAGTTGGTATTTCGAGCAGTTCACTATATTTCGTAAGTTTTGGATTTACTTTGTGTTCATTGACTATTCCAAGAGTGTAACTGCTAATGTTGTCATATAACTCGAATGCAATTTTAAAGTAATCATTATCGGTACAAGTTTCATACACTTCAAGTCCCAATTTCATAGGATATAAGCTTTCTAGAAAGTTTATTCTCTCTACAACCCAAAACGCAGAGGAAATGAGCGACTGTTTTCTAAAAGGAATCACTTCATTATCCTTGTTTATACAATTTTCTAATAAGAGTGCAATTTTAATATCCCCTTCCACTTTTATAACCGGCAAAACACTTTCACTTTTACTTAAAACAAACATGACTAGTAAAATTTTCAGATACATATTTGTGCGTCATTAACACTAGAATGAATGAAAATAGTTTCCTCTTCAAGCTTCAATGCACTAAAAATGTATAAACAAACACGACAATTTTTGAAGGACTGCAACCCAGCGTGTTAACTGTGATACACTTGATAAAATACTAAATTAAACCCAAAAGGTTATATGTGTGTACCCTAGTTGTGAAAAGGTGTGAGTCAGAAAATTGCTAGGAAACAAAACAATCGATACAAACTTTTTAACTATAGGGTATTAAGATGGGTATGGAAATAGACAGATCGATTATAAATTCGTTTTACGGGAATTAAAATCCGAGAAGCACTACAAAACAAGCTTAGGTTAGACGATGCATACAAAAATTTTGTTTCAGTAAAACGTAATTGCATTATTACAAGAATAAGCAAACAAATGAACATTGGAAAAATTATCTTTTTATTTCATCGGATTTCTTCGACTTTTCTACAAAGTAGAAGGTTATCGAGGATGCAAGAGCCTATATTCTTCGCTGTTGTCCTACATCCCAGCAAACACACTTACGTAGGTACATAAGACATACTATTTACGTACTGATGGGACGTAAAGTACGTACCATGTACTTATTCCTATAGAGTATATATTTTAGACGTACTTTACATCTTTATTGGTACTTACTTATGATGTATAATATACGTATTAGTGCAATAAAAAGAAAAGTAAACAAATTAATTTGTATTTATTTAATTTTTTACATTAAAAGAATAATTTAAAATGTTTTGCTATCTTTTTGAAAGTTTTTAGGCTATCATCAGCTCCTCTTAGCCATCACACAATTTCCTGTCCTACAAACTTCTTCTCTTTGTATTTGTTACTTTTTATAGCACCTTCTGCAAAGAAATAATATCAAATTAGAAACTTAACTTTGGTACTTTTTATAATAAACAATATAATAAAAACAATACAACAAAAAGATGTAGAGTAAAGTAAGCGATAGTTTCTACAGCTCAAAATTATCATTGTCAATATACTTCTAGATCTAAACCTCTCTCATTTGTTTCCACCTGTTTTGGCCTCATGCCTTTGAAATCCAATTCGTTCCTGCCATTGTTCTATAATATCGGAACTCCTATATTTCTTTTTGTTAAGCTAGATCTCCATCAGTTTTGAAGTCCAATGGTTGGAAGTACACAATTTCATTAGATACAAAAATAATTGTGACTAGATAGATGGGTTTTAATGCAACGACTTTACGAAAACTGGCATGCAAAAATAAAAAATTAAAACATCCTACCCACTTCAACTGCAGCCAATTATAATTTGTTTCCAGCTTATTAGTTATTAAGGCACCAGCAATAGTCCTTTTGACAAAATCCAAAATTAAATTATTAGGGTCTGTAAAATATCACTTCTTTTGTTTAAAATATTAGATACCTCCTGTTTATTCATTTCCTTAAACTTTTTTAATTGTTTTGTAGCATTTTTGTAATGTTTACTATATGGGATGACATATCTATAAATTATATTTATTACACATAATTTTTTTAAATTAAAATGAAACACGCACTAAAAAGTCTAAATAATTGTCTTGTTCAATTATAATAAATTATACACAACTATTTATTTAATGAAACACTTAATAGTTAAATCCTAAACATGAAAAACTAACAAAAACGAGCGAGTTTAGTTTAGAGTTTAGGTAAGGTTAAATAAATTGGGTTTCGTCATGGTTTCGTCTATTTTCTTTGCATTTTTTGGCCTACGGTCAACAAAAATTTGGTAAAAACATAGGTTTTTTAATAAAATAGGTATGCAACCAGGATTACGTACACTTAGGTACGTACTTAGTACGTACTTTTCTGTACGTACTGTTGTGTACGTACTTAAAACGTACATTTTAAGTCCTGTACGTACAGTACCAAAACTGTACGTACTTAAGACGTACTGTGCTGTTTGGGATGATTATTACAGCCTGTAGTATGCATACAAAAAACTCATACAAAAAATTTCCAAGATAAAACAATTTCTATATAACCAACTGCGGTATGTGAGTAATTCATTGCATTATTTGTACTGATCAACGGCGTTTAACGAAATTTTTATTGTTTAAGGATGCCAAAAACTGTTGAAAGAAAGAAAAAAAGTGTTGAAAGACGCAAGTTAGTTAGAAATGATTGAATTATGCCTCTTCCAAAAAAAAATAAATAAAAAATACATTAGGAATAATTGATTTTATTGCTTCCAAAACATTTAGATTTACAACAACAAGGGTTTGGGTTTTACAAAGTATATAAATTTGTAGATTATAACCTATATATAATAAATAAGAAAATAAGAAAAAATAAGAAATCATTTCCCATGCGAAAATCCTCTCACTTATTACAAACTTTCTAAAACGTTCTGTATACAGATGGATAACAATAATTTAAGTTAGTATACAAAAATCAAATTGAAAGGAATAACAAAAAACATTTATAACGGAAATGGTATTTCCACAGTACGAATATAAAAAGTAAATCAGTGAGACTATTCATTTAAATTTTAATATATTCCATATACAGGGTGTTTCAAAAAAGGTATGTCATAACTTCTTTCTCAGATAGATTACCAAAAAATAAGTGGATTTGGCTATATTTACCTATATCAAAAACTGGCTCCCATCAAAGTTACAGGGCGTTAAACTTACATTCAGAAAAACCTTTTTTTTTTAAAAGTTTGCTGTTGCGGTTTTTTCTTTGAAATTTTTGCCATTGCTGTAGATTTAAGGCCCAACATTCTAAAGAGAAAAAAAATTAACGCGACCCCTTAGGGGATTGGGTACCTTTTAACCCCTCCGTATTTTTTTGTCATAAAGAAACTTGCTTTATCGATCTCAAAATCAAAAAGAAGTATGAATTTTTAAATTTTTTTTATAGCAAAACGAACTTTGTATCTTTCTTAGTTAACGAGCTATTTACAATTTTTTAACTGGATTTCTAGAGCAATTCGTCCGTCCTGGACTTAACATATCAACAAAATTAAGAGTAGATCAGGAGTTATTCTACAAAAAAACGCATATAAAAATCAGTGGTGTGCCTAGGGCTGTGCTTGAGCCGCACCTGTTGCTACTGTTTTTTTTTTTTTGACCCCAATTGTATCATTGTAAATGTTTTTTATAGGATACTAAACGTTTAGAACAGTGGCAGCATATATATCGTTCCTAGTGCCGATAAAGATCTTTCTAGAGATGATGCCGTTCTATACTTTTTGGAAGATATCAAATATTATGAGACTATTTTTACTGATGGTACTGTTAGCAAAATAAAAAGGGGAAAGCTGAAATTAAAGGATGAGGTAATACCATGTACATTCCCAAATCTCCCTTTATACTTGTATTACAACAATAAAAAAATCTGTTAACTGTGTTTTATTTTACTCTTAAAACTATATATTGGTTCAATTCAAAAAAAAAAAAAAAAAATAGCCACAAAATTGTACTCATCAAATTTTAGCAATTAAGAAACCTTTTCGAATTTGGTCACACATACCTAATTTGTAATTTATATAAATAAAATTAAATAATTTATCAATTAAAACATGCAAGACTTATTTAGAAATAAATACAACAGTATATTCTGTGCTTTATTTAGCGGTAAACAAGTTTATTTTTATTGTTTTGACAAAATTATGTATAATTCCCATAAGAAGCCATGTATTTTAAATAACTTACTTTGATTTTCTCTTACTATACGGAGAATGGTCGCACTACGCAACTTTCTGAGTGCCTTTTAAAAGGAGATAGAAAACTCCGCCATTTTGAACCCTTATTACGTGTTGCCTACATCTTGGCGCAATATTTTTAATAGGTGCATTTTAATCTTCCGCTTCTGCTTCGGAATTGTCGGTTTTCTTGTTTTAATCTGACAGGTTAAAACGACTGAACCGACAATTCCAGAAGTAGAATCGGATGATTAAAACGCACCTGATATTTTGCTTGCTGCTGTCAGTGTCAGTGAATATTATTTTTGGAGTCACAGTTTATTGCTAAAGAATCAGTTAGCTCACTTGGACCAGTTGAAAGTTCCAAAATAGGATCCACGCCAGGGATACAAATTCAGGATACGCAGAAGACTGCTGTTTTATTATAGGCGGTTGTCATATATTGTATTATCTGAGTTGCGCAGTGTATAAACTGGAACATTGAGATCAAAAGTGCCGACGCAGAATGAGCGATCTGATTCTTTAGCTATAAACTGTGTCATAGGAATCAAAATGCCTCGTATAGTAATCAAAGTATGTGATCCAAATGATCACGAAGCAAATGTACCCCATCAGAATATTTGGATTCAACAAGATGGGGCGCCTCCCCACTTTGGAACAACCATCCATCAACATCTTCACGCCACATTTCCCGGAAGGAAATCTAATAATAATTGGATCCATCAAAAAATCCTCACTCTTTAGTTTTTATGTATGTTTAGCAATAATACCTACTACCTTGTCCGATTTCTATGATTCTTTTTTTGGATTGGATTATATCATGAGATTGTTCAATAGATATTTTTTTACAATTTACATTATGCCTTTTTTTACCCTGACGGGACTTGAAAGTCCCGGCCCCAAATTTTTACGAGGGGAGGGCCCAAAAATTTTGAAAAAATTAATTTGACCTACATAGGTGCCTCTAATTGATATATCAAACTTATTTCATACATTTCTAAAAAAAATCTTTATCTGGAACGTAAAGGGTTAAATATAAATTAAAAATGAGCGATTCTTGTGAATAATCGATAAATAATAGCATTTAACAAGATATTCATCTATATTTACAAATAAATTATAAATTTTAATACAATTTTATAAAATCAATTTAATTATGAGTATTCAAACTGTAAAGTTAGGTGTGTCGATGGAGCTGAGGGTAGCGTACTGAGCTGCCATGCGAAAGGTCCTGAACTCAAATCTAGGATTGAAGACTAATAAAACATTTTTTTTTAATTTGTAAATTATTAAATTATTCTTAAATTGAGTAAATATTTTTTTAAATTTGTAGATTTTTGTTAGTGGATCGTAGAATAAATATACTACACAATTTGATTAAATTATTTGTATCGCACTCCGTGCTCAAACTTCGTCTTCGTGCGATATGGTCATCATAGCCACTCTTATATTTTATCTCTTTTAACGTTCTAATACATATTTTCTACTAACTTTTCTAAATTTAATATTCAAACCGATCTTTTTCAAAATTCCACAAAATCCGAGAGCTAGGTAAAATTCTCCTATCTCTTTTTTCTTCAAACTTAATGTTCTTTTCAAATTCATCTTC